CACATAATTAAAAGAAAGTTATGAACGATAGGGATGTAGATTTATATTAAATAAAAATCAAGTATAAATGACCATTATTAATCACGACACAATTGTCACTCTGGTTACTTTTTACTTGAGGAATATTCATAAGCTGTTTTATTTATATCCACTAGTTCATTCAACAAATTACCTTTCCTTTTCAAACCCCCCAAACCTCACAACAACAACGTCTTCCCAAGAAAACAAAGAGCAAATGAAGCGGTAAACTTATACGCGTTCTTTATTTTTATACTATTTTTTGTTGTTTTTTACTTTGGAGAACTCTTTTTTTTTTCTTTCTAAATACTCCCTCCGTCCCATAATTATTGTCCAGTTTGAGTTTTCATTTTTAGTTCAAATTGTACTAAAAGTAAAATCTCAAACTGGACAATAATTTTAGGACAGAGGGAGTATTATTTACCGGAGTGATTGTTTCTTGAACAAAAAAATAAAATAAAATTGCCATATAGTAATCATCAGCACCTTACTGTGTCGGCAACTATGAGTAATCGTTTCATTGTTATAAGTATTTTAATGAGCGAAACATTTAGGTTAAAATTTTAAAGCAACTCCAATTACTCACCGAGCGAGATTGAAACATTCAACTTCTAATTTAGGTTTAATGACTCTCGACCACTTAATCACAATTCTTTTGCTTAAATGTTTTGGAAGGAAGGAAGGAACTAGTAGTGCCAGTTAATTGACTACAGTACTTGTGATTGGTTGCCCTTCCCCCTTTTGGTCCATAAATAAGAATATACACAGTATAATTGGAAGAAGAAAACTTCAACTCAGAGCCACAAAAAGGACATTATTTGCGACAGATTAACTGTCACTCACCTCAAAGTTAATGACTGAAAACGTCAACATATTGTATCTTTTGAACTTAATTAAGATGTATTTGCATCTAAATTTTCAGCATTAATCTTCCAACAGAAATGATTTTTTTTTCCCCCAGATTTCCTTGCCGCTGATAATATCTTTGGCATTTTATTCAATCCCAAGGCTGTACCCAAATGAATCTCACAACAAAATTACAAAATACAAAGGCAAGTTCGGTGTCAAATATTGTTAGAGATAATCTGTTTGATTAATATCATCCACTTACATTATTTATTTATTTATTTTTTTGAAGATAGATCCACTTCCATTATTATCCATCAAAATATTGTGAGACTGTATATGGATGACTACTAGATCAACTCAGTAATGGTTGGAATTTGGAACTTGGAAATCTTATGACGCAAAATCGTGGTTAAGTTTATTCAATATTGAATTGAGTAGACAGTAATTAAGTAAATTTGATCCTGTTGGAATAGCTAATCACCGTTCAACTAAATTTCAACTCGAACCCTTGAATCTTCAGTTCACTAATTCCTTTATAATCATATTACTAGCGCGGAAAGGTACAAAGCTAGCTGTAGATATCGAAAATAGAAATGTGAAAAGAAACTACATTTTCATCCAACAAATTTTACTCTCTTTATCTCACAATAATCGCACGATTTATTTTCCAAATTTTAATTATACCAAAAGATAAATATTAAATCGGACAATTATTTTGGAAAAAAGTAGTACTCTCTCCGTCCCATAATTATTGTCCAGTTTGGGTTTTTATTTTTAGTTCAAATCGTACTAAAAATGAAATCTCAAACTAGACAATAATTATGGGACTGAGGGAGTATTATTTATTTTGGATTGTAAACATGCGAACTGTGACAGTTTATCACTGAATACACACATGATTTGTAGCTTTTTTTTTTTTTTTGGTCCATAAATTGGAATCTATGGCGTAATCATCAACAGAATAGTACATCTCATTCAAGATCCAAAATTAACCACTGCAAACAGACGTTGTTTACAAATTAAGTTTCTGTTCCTTGAATTAATTAGGGACATAATTAATGCTGTTACATATTGTAAGTAGTACTCTCACCATCCTAGAAAAATAGTGTATTTTATTATTGAATAAAATGAATTATTTTTTCAATTAGGATGGAAAGAATAGCTTTTTAAAAGACTTTATTTAATGGTTATAAACTACAACGCATTAGCTCATGGTTTAAGAAATTTTATTGTGAAATAATTAACTCTTGGGTTTCTTAAATTCGAGGTAATTAGGATCCCTTGCATGAGGAGAGTTTGATTTCACAATAGTGAAATATAACACGAGCGGTGGTTGATAAATATGGCTTTAGGTTGTTGGTAGCATAATACTTGTGAATGGGCAAGTAAAAAGATATTTTTAGTTTGAAACAATTTTGAGTAGCTTTCTGTATCCCTAATTTTCAAACATAGTATACTATCTATCCACCTGAAATAAGGGTAGTGTTTTTAGATAACCCTCTACCATCATTTTCTCAGGTTATAGTTATGATTTGGGATCTTTGGGTCATTATTTGGAATTAATATCGAAGACGGATGTTGTAACTATCCCCCAAGTTTTAACATTTATCCTAATTTGCCAGATAAATACTTCCTTCAGTCCTTATTATAAGATATTTTTTTGAGTTTTAGGAGACAATATAAATATGAAAATGTATTTTTAAAATTTTTTTCTAATCGAAAAAACATATTACATAAAATTTAAAACATATCAAAATATCTTATAATAAAAACGGGATGGAGTACGTTTGATTAATCTTACACAAAATGTCTTATAATAAGAACCAGATGGAGTATGTTTGATAATCTTACACGTATGAAGATGTTTCAGCCATACAATTCTAAATCTGTACGTAATAACCCAACCATATGACCTAATGGTACAATTCCAAAGTCAGTCTAATATATATTTCCAATATGAAACAGAAAAACATATTGCGTGCCACCCGTGGATTATTGGCTGTTATTAAACTCCAAATATATATAAAATAAATAGATAAGAATTAACAATAATAAGATAATACTCCCTCCGTCCCACAAAAATAGTTCACATTGAGTTTTCAAATTTGTACTAAAAAATCAATGTGTATTATTTTTGTGGGACGGAGGTAGTATAATATAAATTTTTAAACTTTTATGTATAGGCGAAAAGGAAATGCCAAAGAAGGTGAATTTCCACATAGGAACTCAAAGAAAGAAGAGAAGAGAGAAGAGAAAAGAAGAAGAGTTGTGTCCTGCCTGACTTATCCAAGATATCCCTAAAATCTGCAAACATCTGTCTAAATCCCCTTCACCTATTAAATAAACCACAAACCAACAAACCAAATCTTCAAACCTTATCCAAAAATGTTGGGTGTAAACTCCGCATATCTTTAACAATTGAAACACAGTATATTTTTTTTTGTAAAATAAATCAAAAAAGAATTAAAAATTAGATAGTGGTATTTGGTAATCATGATCATATTATAAAAAAAGCCATAAACTAATTAGAGGAAAGGGAAAGAAGATGATGGGTAATCCAATCATTTATTAGATTATTTTTTATGTTTAAAAAAATACAATAAAAGATTTTTTGGGTTTCGTTTTATTTGATATCAGATCCACAAATCTTCAGTATGGTCGCTTATGTTCGTTGATTTTGTTCATATGTATGTGAAGTTGACGCATTCTTTTAGCGTAAATCTTAAAACACATTTCTCAATACTTTGATATCTTCGTTAGTCTCGCAATGTTAAATAAGGTATTTTTTGCTCCGAAAAAAGAAAAAGAAAAAAGCCCATATTAATTCTAAACCGTATACTATCAGTAGTTCGTTTGTTACCTTAAACCTTTCATGCGTGCTTGGATAAATATGTATAATCTATTTCGGGTAGATAGTAAGATGCTTAAGGTTGTTTCAAAAAAAAAAAAAAAAAGAAAGAAAAAAAAAAGTAAGAGGTTTAGGGTGATGATTGGTATCCCTTTTACCCTATTAAAGTAGAAGACATGAAGCTTATGTGGCAATTACGTATGCATCTGTTTTGGCTCCAATGCACCATATTTCAGATTTCATGAGTCTTTTTGCCACGTGTAAGTCTCTTTTAATTAGAAGCTATATAATTCTTTTTTAAAAAAAAAACACATGTTTTAGATATGACACTTATCCTATGAAAAAAATCTACAAATAAGAATCAGTTACATTTCAAACGAATGAATATATTAATTCAAATTCAAATGTCCAATCGTACAGTTTTGCAGGCTTAATATAAAGAAAAAATAAAAAAACTTAAATCCAGTAATTAAAAATAATGCATTATAAACTAATTATTTATTATTCTCTTATAACCTCAGATTTATAGGTATATTTTTTTAAGCCCCAAACCATAGCATAAATGATATATACGCCAAATTAATTCCTCAAAAAATAGTAATTCAATTAGATTTTAATAAAATAGTAATTTAGAAGGGGCGCCCGGCATCTGCTTGGGCCAAACATCTAGTTATCATTATGGAGGAGTTCATGATTCAAATCTCGTTTAGTCTATCTAATTTTTTGAAGAAAAGAAAAATATATATATTTATATATTCAATATTATTTTATCATTTTTATATTTGAGTACAATTCGACATCGGACCTACTAATTTTATTTTCTTTTCTTGGAACCAAACTGCTGCTTGATAAACTTATCCTGATTTTATCAAGAAATTAAAAGTAAATTATATTACTCCTTTCATCCCAAAATTATTGTCTAATTTGAATTATCAATTCTAATACAAATTGTAAGAAAAATGAAAATATATACTGAAAAATCATTTTAGAACAGAAAGAGTCCGACTTATTATTATGATTTCATATGCTGGTACCACCAAATTGAGATTTGATTGACATAATTAGACCCATAAAATATTTGTATCCTTCCTAGGTATCACATCTTTCCCTCCAAACGTAGTCTATATAAGTCCTCCCACAATCTTGTTCTTCCCATCTTGGCAAAATTTAAGTTTTTCGCATAATTTACTCCTCTTTGAAGGAACCAATATTATCTTAGCTTCCAACCTCAAATATTCTTGACCTAAGGGGTTTCAAAATATAATCCATTCCAACAAACAAAAGCATGAGTATCAACGTTGACTCTTACCCGATTATTCTTGATCATTGTAGACATTACGAAGGAGGGTTTGGCATGGACCTCGATCATGATTACATGAACACATACGATGATCCATATCCCATCTCAACAATGTTGTTGGATGATAACATGAGCTCCCAAGATATCCAAACTCTTATTCTCCATAACCATTTCCAACTACTTGATCATCATCATCACCAATATCACCAAAACAATATCCAAATAACCAATACAGAAGATGTTATCGTCTATTTTGAGGATCCAGTAGTTCCTGATCTTGTGGTTGCCGAGGTTCGTACTTCTCCTTTTAAACTTATTTTCAAGTCTTAATGATCGCGGGATCGCCTTCTTAAGTTCTTCTAATATTCCAACATGTACATATGCATTAACCATTAAAAAAAAAAAAACTTACAGGAGTCGTTACACAAAAATGTCACAGAAGATCCTATATTACAGGAAGTCAGTAGTACCACTGTGGAGGACGTGTCCATGACTCAAACGACTTCTAACGACATGGATTTGTCTTCCACCGTGAATATTTCGACCTCATCATCACCGTCATCGTCATTTGTATTTCTGACTAAAGGGATGGTGGATAAGAACGATGAGCTTATTGTTTTCCATTTGGTCATGGCTTATGCGGAAGCCATGGAGATGGGGCAGGAAGAACTGGCCGCCGTGATCGCCAAACGCATCAGCGAGAAAGTCAGTCCGGTAGGGGACAGTGCAATCGAGCGTTTGATGTATCACATGTTCAACCAGAATCTTCCGGCCGACTACAAACAGCCGCCGGAGGAGGATTACCTGAGGCAGGAATCAATGAAGAACTTCCATCAAGCTTTCAAGGCCTTTTATCAAATCTTCCCACATGGGAAGTTGGCTCACTTTGCAGCCAACTTAGCCATCCTCGAATCCTTGCCTAAGGCTGAGGATGATGTCATCCTCCGCATATTTGATTTTGACATTGGAGAGGGAATCCAGTGGGCTTCTTTGATCGAAGCTATGGGCAGTCATAATCATGGACACGGCCTGCTAGAAATGAGGCTGACATCACTTAAATTTGTAGCTTCCGAAATGGAAGAAGAACAACTTTGGAAATTTCAGGACACAAAGAGAAGGCTGTGTGATTACGCGGAATCGTACGGCCTGAAATTGGAGATGGACGAAATGGAATGGGATAATGATGATGATGATGATGCGCTGAATATGGATTCAGCATCATCATCAAGAAAAGAATTTTACGTGTTCAATTGTATGGTTGGACTTCCACATATGGGGAGAGTGAGAAGAAGAAGAGATGTTTTCAACTTCTTACAAAAGTCCCATGTTTTTTTGGGTGGAAATACTAATGGACGCCATGGATATAATAAGAAGGGAATTGTGACTTTTGGGGATGGGGAAGCTTGGGAAAAAGCCAGGAACGCATTTAACTATGCTTCATATTTGGATGAAAACATGGCACACTACCAAGCTTTATTGGAGTCCATAGAGCATAATTTTCCGAGTCATCTCGGAGATGCGAGGACAGCCATGGAATGCCTCTTTGTGGCACCGTTTGCTTCTTGTAAATCGTGGGCTGAAAAATGGGTGGAAAGGAAGAGATATGGCGACCAAGATTGGGTATCTTCCTCAAGGTTTGGAGGGCTAATGGAGGGTTTGAGTTGGAGCAAAGAGAGTTTGTTGGAGGCTAAAGAAGTTGCGAGGGAAGGGGAAAGTTTGTATCGAGTAAGGGTTGAAGGTGAATGCCATAATGAGTTGATCATGGAATGGAGAGAAATTCCATTGGTGAAAGTCTCCTGCTGGAAAAGCACTTGATGATCGGTCACAGAAAAAAAAAAAAAAAAGATGTGTTAATTTAGATTTATCAATTGTGAAAATACGTAGTTTGTAAATTGTTCACACATGTTGATTCGTTCCAGTTGGTAAATTGGTGCAGTATTTTATTGATGAACCCTTCTTTTTTTCTGAAGTATGTCACAACTCACCAATGGAAATGTACGTGACTTGCACAAAAATTACTTGAATGGATTTTTCCTGTCCTTTCTTTTTTTTTTGAGTTTTTAAATGGCTTGTCACACGTAGCACTAAATTGTGGTGTTTGTGGCTTGTAGTGAAAAATGCTTTGTGGATGGGAAATTTTACATATTCCAATGGCTGTTACGTTTGACTTAGTCGTTAATACCAGGTCAAATAAGGTCAAACAAAATCGTTGCCCTTTCCAACGTGTTCTGTTACCTGTACTACGGATTTGTGAAGAAGACGAATTGGCGACAAATATACAGTAATGCTGAATCTTCACAAATCAGGATCTCTAAATTATTTTGTTCCACAACTATTTGATATTTCTCATCAAAGAAACGATAATTTAAATAATAATCAATTAATACGCGAAGGTGGTAAAATGAATATCCATAAATCAATTTTCATTTTCAAGATAATGCGTCTCGATTCACTTGTTTAGTAAGAATATGTCACCCGCCGAGAGGAATCTGGTTACAGACAAGGAAATCGAACTGTTGGTCATCTTTCCTCTCGTGCTCTTATTTCGGATAAGAACATGTAGATGAAACATGTACCCTGCATTTCATTGCTCATAAATTTACTGAGCTGGGATTTAATTGCTGCTTCATTTTATATTTTCTTACTTTACTGTCAATTTCCCAGGATTTAAGTCGAAAAATCATTCGTAATTTACGTTCGTCTACCATTCTTGCAAGTTGCAACAAGCCAAATCTGTGACTAACCTTTAAAAAAATTGGGGGAAAAAAAAAACTAACAACCAAATTAAAATTCATTAAATAAAAGTGTGAATTCGAGCTTTGGATACGACAAGGCCAATTTTGGTGGTAACACTACTTACCGATTCCCAAAATTGAAGGAAGCAAACAACAACCCAGGAGCAAGAAATGGACGACAAACACAATAAAGACCAAAGAGTATCCTGAGCATTAAAATACACACAGATCTTTCAAAATGAGTATCTTTCATCCCATGCCCAAACCATACCTCCCCTCCCATGGTTTTTACATATATCAAAGTCATCAAACCGCTCTAAGACACGGTCTAGTTTGCCGTTTCCATATACGCACGACCGATAAATCTTTAACAATGAACCAACTTTCAAGTTCCAACTAAGAACGACAGGAAAAGGCGGAATATTTGCTTTTTTGGGGTTGCCAGAAATTTACAAACAAAAACAGTTCCTAGTATGTTGTTGTTTTTTTGCCAGAGACGAACAATTCCCAACACCACTCGAACGTAAAAGGACACACAAAGAAAGACTAAAATAATGTGCTTCACCACTTTCTTTCATTTTTTACAGATCCTGGACTGGGCCAAGTAGCCACCAATCCAAATCCAAATCAAACGACTGCATTCAAAGGCGGAAAACTGGTGAGTATCGTGTCAAATTTAATTCAATTCCTTCCGCTCTTAGGTCTTAACTGGAGATCAAGAGAAGTATTCTCAATCGTAATGCCATACCTGTCAGACCGCAATTCTGCCAAATCCATCTCCACAAAATGGAAAAACAATAGGGCCAATTTAAATATGGCACAGGAACTTAAAATTAAGACCACTGCATTATAGTGCTACTTAAAAAGTTCACAAAAATAGGACACGGACAAGTGACCTTTATACTGCATTGTAACGGGGTCCCTTTACCAATAGATCGCAGATCAATGAGAAGGATTTGAATGATCTCACCAATCCACCTTGCAATACAATGACAAAACCCTCAGCTTTAATGCCACATCCCCCCAAAAAAAAAAAAAGAAAACCTGAAAACCGACCTTAACATATAAAGTAGAACTCCTTTCCTATGTCGGATAGCATGAAAATGTTCACAACTTCCGCCAAGCAAACCACTTTTAACCTCAGCCGCAGACACGTCCAATCATTCCTTGGGTCCAGACAGCAGTCTCTTTTATCTGTTCATCTTCGGACTGCAGACATTCATGTAACAACTCCATACAGGTTGCACGATCCTTATACAACACCTTGATGTTTGAACCAAGTGCATCTGCTATATCTCCCAGAACTGCTACAGCAGCTTTTGTTACACTGTCGTCCCTGAGAAAAAGTATCAGCAATGCGTTAAATCTAACTAACAAATAGTCGAGAAGAGGATCCAAGCACATTAAGGCAAAACCATAGTTAATAACTCTCATCTAACCAACAAATAGTCGAGAAGAGGATCCAAGCACATTAATGCAAAACCACAGTTGATAACTCTCAGGTAGATAAAGCAGTTAAGGCCTTGCACAGTAGTATCATTTAAAAGGAATTCCTCTGACAAAAAGAACTTTTACCTGTTCTGGTCTTTAGCAACGAGTTCAATGAACTGCAGGAGATGAGGCGCATGAGGTAACAACAAATCTGCCTTGGAAGTCTTAAAACCTTGGAGGATTCCAGAATAAGCTTCAAAAATGCTGCGTCGTAACTGATTACCATAATCCATCATTTCCTCGTCAGTGGTATCGATTTGGGCACATACTTCCGAAGCACTTTGCATCATTTGCAGAGCATAATTTATATACTTTTCAAAGTGCTCCCCTATTGCGAGGGCGATGTCTCCAAAACAACTAAATATTGGGGGCTTTACAGACCGATGTAATTCGCTACTGGAAAGATCCTTAAGAAGATGAGTCATGATTCCATCACAGTATGGCAAGATCTTGTCTTCCAAAGCACGAGATATATCACCAACAACACCTACTGAGATAGCACAGACTTGGTATTCCTCAAAATTCTGCAGGCCCATCTCCAAATATTTGTAAAACTCAGGCATATATTTCCCAAATTCAGGGCCCGTTGCATAAGCAAGTGAACCTATGGCAAGCATAGCTTCTTCGTGCACTGTGGAGCTACGGCAGGCAAAAACCTTTAGAAACAGCATCATGATCTGGTCAGCCACCTGAAGAATGATTTGTTTGGTTCCGTCATCACTGTTTAGTTTCTGAATGATAACCTGAATAACACCACAAAGAGAAGCTTGCAGGTCCCCTTGTTTTTCCCTGTCTTCCGGCGTTACAATCTGAAGTTCTAATGTTTGCCCCAACTTAGTCATGATAACGGGGAGAAGTTGCGCTATAATCGAAGATGTCTCTGCAAGGTTAGAGCTCCTAACAACCTCATTCAAGGTTTCATAAGCAGAGGTCCTGAGCTTGGAGTCACTGCCATCTGTTCGATCAGCCGTTGCAATAAGACAACCAATAATATCTGGGAGACAGGGAGTAAGCAAAGAAGAGCTAGCTCCAGAATCTTCATATCCCTGGGCAAGAAAATAGATGGCCCCACAAACCTTCTCAGCTACATGTGGAGCATCCTTTATGCTTTCTAACAAAACCCCCACAATCTGCTGGAGATTAGAAGGTGAAATTACACTAAATCCAGTGGCTGGTGAGTGCAACAACTCAAAGATACGGCTAAGAGTCCATGCTGTCGTATCCTTTACATGGCTATTCTCATCCTTCATGGCATTAAGCAGGAAATGCAAGCCAGAGTTCACCATAGGAGAGAGTTTCTCAATGCTCGGCCCTTCAAGAATTGAGCCAAAGGCATATGTTGCTGCCTCGCGGAATCGCCATTCTGGTTTCACAATGTTGGCTTCAACAAAAGGCATAACAAGAGGTACAACAGCGTCCCCTACCGTCCTAGCAACCAAACCAAGACATGTTCCACCAGCCATGGCAAGATTCCAGATCCCATCGTCCTGATCTTGATCCTCATCCTGCTTCAGTAATGTTTCAAGCAACATAGGAACCAGAGTCGGTAGAGCCTTTTCGATGAAATGTGAGCATGATGTGCTCGAGTCTCCTGCATCTTCATACTCTTGAAGCTCCATCTCTTCATCACAGATGCTACTCCAGAACTCAACAGCTTGAAGAGCAACAGCCTCTTCATCTCCTTTGACTGCATTTGCTGTAAGTTCAAATATGGTCTGCATGTATGGCTCAAGGACCTCATAGTACATTGATGCAATGGATACAAGACACTCAAAGGCGGCCTGTCTAATATCAGAATCTTGTGCAATAGCTGCCTCACAGATTACCTTCATGATGTAATCCCGTTCCATTTGATTCTCAAAGTTAGTTTGTGCAAAATCAAGAGCATTATATAAAGCCCTAACTGCAGCAAGTCTGACAGCAGGATTTTGCTCCGTCACATTCATGCCCTGGACAACTGCTGTGAGTACTGAGTTAACTTCATCTTGGACCAAATCACGATCAGATATCTCCTCACATACAAAGCCCAGGGTCTCCAAAGTTGCCTGTTTGAGGGATGCAGGCCTATCTTGCTGGGTCATGTTAGCAAGTAGCTGACCAATCAGCTCAGGCCATTCCTTCCGAGGAATCTCTATGGATGCAATCTTGGCAATTACTTGGGCAGCAGCATGACTTGCTTCCCGTTCAGACGACGCCAGAGTGTTCACTAGCAAGGTTTTCACCTGGGATTTTGTTGTGGGATCAATTGCCACCCACTGTTGTGTAAGAACATCCTTCCGAGCAGCATCTTTGGCATCCAAAGAATTCTTCAGCATGATACCAGCAAGCCTCCGGGTATCAACTGGTTTACTGCCATCTGAGATCTGAATTGACAGTGACAATAGATAAGCTGGTAAATTCTGTTCGCAGAATTGATTAAGACTCCTCTCTGCTTCACTTCTGATATTTCCATCGGCTGATTGAGCAGCCAAAAGAAATTGGGTAATCTCCATGGCCATATATCCTACAAAATTGCAATAAATAAATAAATAGAGACAATATGTAACTAAATTAACCAAAAGAACCCCAAAAAAGAGAGAGAGAGAGAGAGAGAGAGAGAGAGAGAGAGAGAGAATCAACAAAAATCTCCATAACGAACATACTAGTAAGCTTGATGTCTATACAACTCTGGCCAATATGTATGATTAAGGTAGAGACAAAAGAAACGCAACAATCAGATAAAATAACGGTCCTGGCATCGTAAAATAGGCACAAAATCCCGAAAACCTAAATAATAAAAATCGATTTGCCATGAGCGCAAAATGTAATAAGAGAATACCATTTACTAGATTCGCTAGTTCAGCGCTTCATAACGTCAACAGAAAAGACTACCAAACATAAGTTCGACAAAATGGAAATGCGAAACCCTAAGCGAGCCAAACAGACGAAAAATTGCAGGAACTGACAGCAATAAACTAAATCAAGGGACGATGGCAAAACCGGATAAAAAGATCAATAGGATACAACTCACCTCAAATTCAAAACCCTAGTCTGATTATGTTATCGGACGAATCTCTCGAAGCACAAAGCAGGACGATAAAGCAGATAGATTTCTGCCCTCAGACACTCCCGTCTTGTTTGCTCCTTCCAGAGAAGGACAAACTTTCAACCAACGCCCGGCTTAACTATATCAGTATGGAACGTTTGGGGAAGAGGGAGAAATTGAAAAAGGAAGAGAGATAGTGTGTGACTGTGTGAGAGAGAAGGGGAAGATGAATTTTCGAATGGGGGGAAGAAGCGGGAGGTTGTGGAGGAGGAGGCAGCTTTTTGTTTGTAAAATAGGTTTGAGAGAGAACGGGCAGGCTCTGGAAGTCTTGCCCGAGCTGCCCGGGGACGCCGACCCACTAAACCCTACACACTTGAGTTTTTGAATTACTCGCACGTGTGGAGTTTGAGGTCAGTTGTTGGGCCTTTCCTGAATTGGGCGTAAGGCTATATATCCAACAACCAGCTTTGAATTGAATCGGGCTCATATAACTGCCCAATTAAATAAAAGAGCTTCAATGTACGATTTGGGCTCATTGTAATCTACATATCGGTGCTAATATATATCCCATGTTTTTTCTGAATAAAGTGGTGCTAATGTAAATGTTGCTCCCAATAATCCTAAAAAATACTCATGAAATTATTCAATTTCTGAATCAGATTCTTACTATCAGCAAAATAACTAAATTACGTTTATATATAATATGATAAATCCTCATACTTTGTATTTTTAATAATAACTATATATATGTGATGTTTGATGTCACACTTTACTATTCTATACTATTTGAATAAAAAAAATGTATCAATTTGAAAGTGCTATATCTGGTGGGATTCGAGTATTGGTTTTAGCATATTGTTCAATGCATGAGTGAGAGAGTTGACTAAGAATCTTGAGATGAAAAGAATAGAATCAAAATTTAAACACTGATACGAACTCCCGACCTCAAAAGTTTTAAATATCGCCGTATCAAATGTATTAGGATACTGTCAAGTCTCAACTAGCTATATTGATACAAACTCGTTTTGAGTATGTCTCTTCCATTTTCCCTCATTCTGTATCAAGTAAAAGACATCTGGACTGTATTATAACTATAGCACAAAATGTAACTACATCTTTCCTAAAAAAAAATCACATTTAATTTTCAGATTTATAGTAAAACTTGATCTCCCGTTACAGTACAAATAGGCAGGCATACGTTCACTACTTAAATTTTGCCTTGGACCAGGGTGGAGGTTTACAAGTTGGCAATGCAACAACCGGACTTCTCACACCACATCCGCCCGACTTTATTGGTTTCATACGCCATGGCAAGAGCAGATCAAGGCCGCAGCCTCCTTCTTTTGATGCCGAAAACGGCGACAATTGCCTCAAGCTGACTGCCCGGGAAATGTTACTAGTACTGCCACCGATGCAACTATAATGTGATCCCAGAATACTGTGATGATCTTTCTTCTTTTTACCAATATTTGTGAAATCTGCCGACGATGTAGAAGCTGCGGCCAATGCTTGAGCATCCGGAAGAAATCGCTGAATCATGTAGTTCGACGATGGAGAGATTCTAATATGGTTCATGATGGCATCAGCTGCAGGCTCTTCCTGATTTTCCGATGATGATAATGTGCTCCTGCAGCAGGCTCGATCCCGGGTCTCGTTTGTGTCCACTGACTCTGCCAGTGAGAATATGTCAAGCGTAATCGAAGAAATACCTGCTTGCACAAAATTGCAGCTGGTCAAATTATTATGGTTTTGTTAGGCCAGTTTGGCTTGATTTTAACCTACACAACTTATCGGTTTTTGTTTTGATTTTGATTTTGTTATAAAAATGTGGAAGGCAACATTGAGAATGAAGAAAAGTTTAAACAATATTACAAATTATGCAAGACATACAAAACGGAGAGAGTTGAGATGTTAAAAGATAAAATTTCAAAAAATGTCACACTCATGTCTGATGTATTTCAACTCCCCCAAAAAAAAAAACAATACCATCGTCCGCGTCCCCATCGCGACTATCATTGACATCATCAAGTACTTGATCAAGGCTTCTGCAACTTCTACTAAAGTAGTACTCCCAACAGGCAGCGCGGCTCCATCGCCCTGGTGGAGGTTTCGGAGGGAGGAAGTAATCATCATTTTCTGTTCCGTTGGAAATGTTGTTCTTGGGCTTTCCAGGACTTTGCTCCCAGGAAAATGGTATCCTCTCCCTGGAACTAGCAGCAACAACATTCGGCTTCTCGTCTGACCTATCCAAACCGACACAGTTTGTTCTCCTTGTGGATAGAAGTGGAGCATTTAAGTTTATAAGCTTTCCAGCAGGGAACTTCCCGTTTACACTTTTGTCCTGATTTTCTTCACCCTCCATATCCGATAACCGTTGAAGGGATTCTGGCGGCTCTAACATTTGTCAGACTCAGATATGAAGTAGAATATGAAAGAAAATACTTAAGTGTGAATGATAGGATGAATGGTTGCTTTTGTATTCAGAGGTGAGAAAATCTGAAAAAAGGGGTGGTTGCAGTATTGTTTTACAGGCTGGAACTATGGGATTCTCGTGCAATCAACTAAAAGTTTTACTTGAAAAAAGAGTGTACAGGTGTTGCTGCAGTTATGGACCAAAAAACCAGTCATGCGGCTCATCATTAAATCTGTACTGTACACGGACCAGTTAATTTGAAAGCCAAGGTACGAGGACAGCAAACCTGGGGGACATGGACATAAATAGAGATGCTGCCTGAATATGCAACCATTGGAAAAGCTAATATGTATGTAAGAAAAGAAAAAAAAGGCTACCACAAACAGGACTTACTACTGTAAAAAGGAGGAAAAAAAAAAGGTGTTAGTTGAAGATAACAGCAACAAACAGCAGCATATGGAGCCAAAAATTCTCAGTCAAACTCACAAGGAGGTGGCTGCAGCTTAATATACATTATGTTATGTTCATTTCTGCTTGAAAACTACTAATTTGATCTTTTACAAGTAATCTCCAAAATCGGTGGAGAGGGAGGTTTAGATATTTAGTCCACGGGTATCAGGATCAAGAACTAGAGCTAACACTAATAATACAAAACATCATTGAACAAGAAAGTGTTTGTGTGTGTGTTTGAGTTTTATATACAGTTGATCGACCAAAATTACTATGGTTTCTGTGATCATCATTTTCTGATCTTTGTTGTATTCTAGTTTCTCTTCTGGCATGTGCCATGGCCATTGCAAAATCTTATCCGGATTCATGAAAAACCCAAAATCCAGAAGATTTTACACAATGCAAAATGCTGACCCTTCTGCACCAACGGCAATGTTTTTTTTTATTGCCATTAATTCAAGGGCCAGTAAAAGAAGAACCTGACTTAGGTCTCTCTTCTTCTTTTATAGGTCATGTTTGCTGCTCAGTGGTCCGTTCCAATGCTTTTTTGTAAAGCTCTAGTGTATCAGCATGGCTAGGATCAAGACATAGAGCTGCCTCACAATCTCGGAGAGTGGAGGACGGATCACCCATTGAGTCATGAAATGCTGCTCTTAAATGAAGCAACTGAAGATCTGGTTTGAAGGATATGGCCTTGGTTAGTTCCGCAATGGCTTCAGCTTCTTTGTGGTCATCCATCAGAACTGAAAGATGCTCATATTAGAAATCCCTATGTAACAAACATGGAATCTATACACCAAGGAAGAATTTCCAGAAGAGAAAGGAAAACAAAGACAAACAACACCCAAAAAAGGTTACAGGAGATGCTTATCATATTTTCATCAAATTAAGATGGATTACATTCAAGAAGTTAAAGATAAGGACCACATGGCAACAGATCTTTGGATTTTCGCACAGCAGAAACAGATTCCAACTAGCATTTTATCTGCCTTAATACCAGTTATGGATACGTGAAGCCAAAACACTTAATTTACTTCTTTTGAATCCTTGTTAGATTTAAGAAGGTTAGCTATTCTCAAAAATAAAAAGGAAATCAGAAAATAAAAATTCAGGTATAAAATGAGTTTGCACATTACCGGCTGCCCTGTATCTGTAAGGATATGTTCGCAAAGGATCCAACTGTGTCGCCATGGTGAGATCGCTTTTAGCCATATCCCGGTCACAGTACTCTGACCGTTTCTCATAGGCTGATGCATTATTTCTTGCTTTTTCAATCAACTTTGTCATCTCATCATAAGCAGCTTTTCTCAGATTTTTAAGATGGTATACCCGTGCTAGTCCTTGATGTGCTCTTGTATGCTTAATGTTTAGGGCATTCATGTAGCAATTAACAGCATCATCCAATCTCTCAACATCGACATAGATGCTTGCCAAGTTACTCAATGCCTGCAGGAGGATATGGTCAATAAAGGTAGTGTTGCAAAGCATAATAGAATGAGAAAAGAGATTCTAAGGAGATTAAACTCACTTGTCCCTTTCTAAGACCATCTGAAGGACATCTAAGAGCTTCCTCCAAAAGTTCTATGACATATAAGGAAGATTCAGCATCACGGCTTGTTTCAGATAAGACATAGGCCTTCAGGAAATATGCTTCAAATGACCTCTGAACTGAGATGGACGCCTCAGCTTTAGCTACTGCATCCTCACGATAACCGGTGTCATAAAGTACCCATCCTTCATATATAAGCCTTTCATGCTCAGATGAAGCGTGATTTCGTGCCATTCGCAAACTTCTCATCGCAGCCTTGTGACAGTTTAACCTGAAAAACAATGAGAGGATCAGGATCACACTGTTTAGCAGGCAGAGAAAGATAATCATTGCAGAACAGAAATCTCAGAAACAAGTTCAATCAAAATGCTCATTGGTCAATTCATTTTAAATCGAAAAAGGGACGCCCCAGTAAATCATTCTTTTAGGTATTCTGGAGCTAACACTCACTCTAAAAGCATTTCCCAGCAGACAAATAACCGTAAGTCATGAAAGTACTAACCGTAAAAGGAGGAGAGACTGCCGGAATCTCAAGAGACTTTTCCCAGGGTCATTACTCAGCATATGGTGTACGACAGCCAGGGATCCAATATCATCTACATGTGACCACCGATCATATAAATGCATCCAACAATCAGCTTGACTCCATTGCTGAACATGGTTTCTGAGGAGCTCCACCAAAAGATCACCTTGTAACTTTTCATGGAAAATTATGTAATAAGGATCCAACGTTAGAAGTGCTCGAACATCTCTGAGAGCTCCTTCGTAATCCTCCTGAGCAATCAAAAACCATGCGCGAAGCTCCAGACAATCGGGAGAAACCTTAAAACCTAGGATTTTGTTAATCTCTGAAATAGCTTGATCAAGCTTGTTAATATCTTCCTCCACCATCAAGACAGACCTGTGCTTGTATGGATAAGAAAGGGTTGGATCCAATTCTGTTGCTGTATTTAAATCCATTAATTTTTCCTTTCCACTGCAATACAAAGATCTCTCTTGATACATCCAACCTGAAGGTGTATGATCAGAAATGAGGGCATTCATTAACTTATAGGCTCGGTATTTATGGCCCCGTTTGTATTTAGCCCTGGCAAAACCAACGATTGAATAAACATGCCCGGCATCAGCAGCCTCCCTGAACCATTTTTGAGCATCTTTATACTCTTTTCTCTCGTGCATCACACATCCCAACTGGTGAAAAGCTAGTTGTTTCTGCCAAGATTCACTCGCACATTCTGCCATCCTTTCTAACAACATAACCGTTGTGTTTGATTTTATGTCCTCCTCCATGGAAACATGGCTTAAGAAATTGTACAACAAAAATGAACCATGTCCAGCTGAAATTAGCTTTTCATTACCCTCTGGACTGCAAAAAATTTTCATGATATGTGGCGTGTGAATAGTGCTCGGGAGTTCCCTTAAGAACACTTGCAAACAAGCAGCCACTAAAAGATGAGCAGTTTCTTCCAATCCATACTCAATCAACAACATTGCAGTTTCCAGATCAACAATTAAGGAGGCTAAGTAGGCATCACAAGCAGACTTCATTTCCTCACAGCAGAACATGTTAGCCAAAACTAGAAGTTCCAAAACAATATCTTCATCAAAACAGTCCACGCTTTTTATCCTGCTAAACACCTCAGCAGCCATCATCGCCTTTGCAGATATCCCGGACTTTGAAAAATTTATTTTCTCTCTTCGTGACTCCATGAAACTACCATACAGCATTGCCCTAAATGGTCTCGAAAGTGACGCAATCTTGTACCTATTACACCTGATCTCATCTTCCCCTATACAAAAAGACATGTCCAAATCATCTTCGTCGACATCCATATGACTCAATGAAGTGGAGCATTCCTCATCAGTTTCAGGTAATTCCCCATCCATTTCTTCTTCTTCTTCTTCTTTCGGAAACCTTGGACACAAACAGGGATCGCTAATTGATTCGGGATTATACCCGGAAACCAATGAACTAATAGGACATTCCATGCTTCTCCCACAGCAATCCATTGCTGAAATCCCAAGAAGCTCATCCTCTCTCCTGTCATACCTTAACCAAGCCGAAAGTACAACCTTGGAATGCACATCAACTGCATGCTCCCTGGCAGACCTTAGGCTCCTCCGAAACAACTTTGGATCAGATAACCCTTTGAATATAGCACATTGCTCGAGATACGTTGCGGATTTCTCGGATTCAGGGGAGATCCCAATTCTTCTGTAAACATCAGCAAGGGTTTCAACAAAATTTACAAATTTGAGATTGGGTTCGATTTGGGGCTCAATGAGATCAGTTTGAGGAAGGCCATACATAGCCAAAGCCTCTTTTAGAGCAGTTGCAGTGACATTTTGATGATGATGATTATTCGGCTGGAAGCTCTGAAAGTTCATGATTGATTTTGATCTTATTGAATTAACCCTCAAGTGATCATGGAGGTGGGCAAGGAACTTCTCCCCAACACTCCCTCCTCCTCCTCCTCCTCCGCCGCCGCCGCCGGAGGTCCCAGATGGATGAAGGACGCTGAATTGCGCTCCTTTACACCCATCAATCATATTCAAACTACGTATTGTACTGTACAGATTGTGCTGCATCTTGTCTCCTTTGCAATCAACCCCTCCAAACAAAATTTAAAATAGGAAATAACAAAACCTTATTCACAACACATTACCAATTCTCACACAAAAAAAAAATTGTTCTCTCTGGGAAATATATATTTTTCAAAATGTGATCTTTTTATTTAAAAAAAAAAAAACAAAAACACGAAGAGGGATAAATTAATGTCTAATGAACCACTGTAATTACCTGCAAACACCACCGCTTCCGTATAATGAAAGAACCAAAAGGAGGAAATCAAATAAGCAAACAATGGTGTTGCAGGGCAGAACTCAGGGAACCTCTTTTCTTTTTTTTTTTTTTTTTGCCCTTTAATATGGGGAAATGTTATTGAGAAGAAAGAAAAAAAAAACGGTTATACCTTTTTTCTCTTCTTCTTCTTCTTCTTTTCTGTTTTCCTTTTCCTTTTCTTTTTTTTTTTTTTTTTTACTTTGTTTCAGTTCAACCAAGGATTTTGATGATGATGATGATGGAGCGGTGGCGGCCGTTAAAACGGCCACACATTCCTTAATTAGAGTATTTTATCTTCCTCAATGTATATGCTAATTTAGAGATTATAAAAATTACATTTGTTGAGCAATTAGGTTTTGGTTCGTGGATTTCATTTGTTGGCATCATGTTTATTCTTCATGCCCCAAAAAGAAAGTGAAATGTGTACAGAAATCCGTCGGAAATGGAGAACCGCTGAAGAAAGACGAGTGCATTGTGTGTGCGTAAAATGTTCATTTTGACTTTTTTCCGTACCATATTTAGGTAAATTTGTCTAAATTAAAGATATTAGTATAACATTGCATAACATACCATACTGTTCTCTACTAGCGATCTTATCAATGTACATCTTTTTACAACTTTCTGTTCTCCGTATCCTCATTTTCTTGAGCTTTTATTTATTTATTTTTGCAAAGTCAGGCACTGAATAACTGTAGCAAATAATAGTACTCCTCCATTCCAAAATAAGCGTCATCTTATACTTTGCATATAATTTAAAAAACTCTTAAATATGATAATAAAATTACTTGAATATCCTCAACCAACCCCATTGAAAATATGTCCACCAGTAGAATTAATTCTTTTGAGGGTAATTTTGAAAATTTTTAACAAAAAGTGCATTGAAATGTGAGAACGACACTTATTTTGAAATTTTTTTATTTTACTAAAACGACACTTATTTTAGAACGGAGAGAGTACTTTATAATACTGAAATGCTCATTAGTCAACTTTAATTATTATTAGCTTGTTCTGGTAGTGTTAAATTTAGATGACAAGTTGACAACAACGTAAACCGACCATTTGTTTAGTCCCAGTCCACCATGCATATTTTACGTAGAAAAAGGGACCTGCCCCGATAGTCGGAAGCCAAAATTTCAAACTTTGCTTTCGTCAAACCATTTAATTATTCTCTATCGTAATTGACATTCCTCGTAGACTTTGCCCTGAAAATTCAGAATTTTAGAATGTAAGAATCCATAACCACTTGTGGTTTTGTGATGTATGTTAAAATAGATTGATGACATCAAACAATATTGACGCCAATCGAATATACTCGTAGTTAAAACTTCATCTTTGTACATTTAGCGGTATTTAATATTACTACTTCTCTTATATTTAAATTTTTTTGGCAATCAACTACTAATTTCAAAATCTTGTTAACAAATATATTTTTGGATTTATTCATCTTGTTAATTACCTCTTAGTTGAGCCTAATCAACTGATCTCGTAGAGATCGATATCAATCATTTGTGAAGGGGCTTTTCAAGCCGGCCAATGGCCATTTCAAAATCTCAAGAAACCCGTGAAGGAAAACCAACACCGGGCTTCATAAGAACCAACTTATGTAAGTCTCTAAAGATTATGTCAATTATTTCTTCGAAGATTGGTTAATTAGAACACGGCTTAAAATGCGCTTAAGTAAATTATCTTTGACACGTTCCACACTTATAATTAATTATATATGTTAGTAGTACTTAATTAAGCAGTTCTATACCAAAAGTTCATCTTGGGTTAACCAGTTAGGATGGGATCGATAGAAATTTTTTTGAGATGCCTTATTTTTTTTCACATGTAAAAGTTTAAAATGAAATGTGTTTAGTCAGAATTCTGTATATACAGGAAGGTCTGCCTGTTAACTAATAGGAATTTGTACTACGAATTAGGATCAGTGGCCCAACACCCAAATTAAGAATTCTTTAGAAAAAAAAAAAAGGGAAGTGACAAAGATAGAAATCAAAAAGTCTACGATGAATTTGCTTAGCTATTTGGACTCATTTAATGAATCCAAATACTGAATGATCGAGTTGTTGGAATGATCCAATGTTTTCCCTTGATCTTTACCAATTAAGCGCTTTGATCTGTATTGATCTACCACAACTACTGAAGCATCAACCATTCGTCATAGCTTTTCTTTGATTTTCTTTAAAAAAATTAATTAAAGTTATATACATAGTTACATACTATAATACTTCATATCTCAACTTTTTCAGAAAAAAAAAATAGTCTACTTTATTGATCTTAATGGGACGGAAGGGGGATTGGATTAAATTAATTAAATTTCAAAACACTTTAATCACTAAAGAAATGTGAACTATATATATAGTATCTTGGTTTCCAAAAAAAAAAAAAAAAAACCTATGTAGTATCTCCTTGTGCTGATGAAATTCATTTGACATAATCTTTGCTTTGTATATGGCATGCTACATAAAAAAAATAAAAAAATAAAAAAATAAAATAAAATAACCCCTTTTAAACGGCTATGATCATATATATGCATGAAGTCAAGATGGAAAATACATTTCTTCTAGGGCCTCTTGCTTGTCAGGGTCAAGAAGAGGGTTTGCCATTTCTCTCCAATTAATTCTGATATGGTTGAAACTCTCCAAAACTCAACTAATTTCTAAGAGGGCCTGGCCTTAGAAGACCGTTGATTGAACTTTTTCATGCCAAGTCTTCTGTCTCCCTTTCCCCTAGCTAAAAGAGCAATATCCACAGCATCATTACCAAGTCAGTTAACCGCCTTAATTTGTCTCTTAAAATCTCTTCCGCAATTCCATTAAACCCGAATTCATTTTTCCTTAATCTTCTTTTGGGGTGAAAGAAGAGGTGAACTGATATTGCATAATGGATGGTTTGAGTTCAAGTTCAAGCAATTATGGCACGGTCGAAGAGAAAGAACATAATGAGAACAAAACTTCAGTAGTAAGGCGTTATGTGAGATCCAAGTTGCCACGACTCCGATGGACACCCGATCTTCATCGTCGATTCATTCATGCGGTGCAAACACTAGGTGGTCAAGACAGTAAGCGACTTTCCTAATAAGCTTAATTATATTTGCTGTTTTCATGTCCTCCTCCTTCTTCTGGTTATTTTGTTCTTTTTCTTTCAGATGGTTTTCGTCATATGTTGACTTCTTAAATTAATTTGTTGTTCTGATTTTTGGGTACTTACTGGGCAGGAGCAACACCGAAATTAGTTCTACAATTGATGAATGTTAAAGAGCTTAAAATTGCTCATGTCAAGAGTCATTTGCAGGTGATCACTGAATTAATAAGTTCCCTTTCCTTCAAAACATCAGTTCTCGTTTGATGCATACAACTCATGACCTTAATAGTTTTGAATTAATGATTAGTACTGATCACATACCTGAATTTTTTTGCTGTTACAGATGTACAGGAGCAAGGCAATTAATTATCATAGTCAAGGTGTGTGTACATCACGTATTTACATGCTTTCATTCTAATCTCTTTGTCCCCAAAATGATTACTAACATTTTTTTTTTTACTAAAAGTGAACATCCAACCTGTGGGCAACTATTTCATGCATGACGGAGCAGAGCAGTATTGTATCCCCCTCAGTCCCAAAAAAAAAATATATCTCGCCTTTTCAAATAAAGATAACAGTACTACAAAGTAAATTATTTTCTGGGACATATAAATGAATCATTAATCAAAGGGGTTTTAAACTTAAAAAAGTATGAACACAGTGTTAAACTACCAAGAGTTTCTTGAAAAGACTTGTGATTTTAACATGTATCATTACTAGTTATATATTGGAACCAATAAAACTTCACTCTTTCCATACCCTACTATTGTGTGCAATTCACTTTATATTGTACTATACTTGCAACAAAACTGAACAATTCTATGTGCCCTCAAATTATTGTTTGGTTTGGATTTTTAATAACTACAAGTAAAAATATAAACTGGAGTATTATATTGGATGAAGGAGTGGCGTATATGTATATCTTGAGCTTAATTATCAATTTCTGGGTGCAGTGACCGTTGATGATTGTATGCATATTTTGGAAGGTGGAGACCACTATCTTTACAACTTGAAGCAGCTTGCCATGCTATCGGCCTTGAACTCGAACCAGAAGTCCACCTTAAGGTATGAAAGAATCAGATTGACATTCACATTAATCCTTTTCTTAGAAAACCAGTAAAATTCTGAGTACAGTGGATATTATATTAATTATCCTTCCGTGCCAAAATAATTGTTTAGTTTAGATTTTAAATTTTACAACAATTTGAACTAGAAATGAAAATCTAAACCGGCCAATCATTTTGGGATAGAAGGAGTAGTTAGTTATGGTGCTTGATCTCACTTCTGAATAAAAATCACGACGCTGATATTGCATTCAATAAAAATACAGGGATTCTTCTTGCAGTGAAGATTTGATGCCAGTGCCACCACAGTCTGCAACGAGACAGAGAACAATCAACAAGTCAAGTCCAAGATTCTATGGTACATTTCCGGGGATCAGGACTACCTCTGTCTCGAAGATTAGGAGTAGCCACAACACTAATAACCTTAAATGGTCTTCTGGGCTGCTGATGATTTCCACCAATTACCAACAATCATCATCATCCTCCTCATCATGTCAAACCAATAGTAACACGTTACAACGTAGTGACGTACGTCGTGATCATCATCGGTTCATCGAATCCTCAGAACATATGCACCCATCAATTGCCGGCGTTAAGAGGAAACCAGCAGCTGAGATTGATGATTGCAACATCCAGCTGAGACTATCACTTGGTACAGAATTTTGTGTTGGTGATGAAGGCGATTTATCGCTGTCGTTGTGCTCATCCTCTTTCTTATCCAACCAGCGAAAGAAATTGGCAAGCGCTACCAGTATTATCACTAGTAGTGGTAGTAGTAAGAATGGAATTAGTGAGGTAAGTACTCTGGATCTCACTCTGTGAATGAATTAATTGACCAGCTCAATTTACCTATTCTAAGTGAGATCTTGATTTGGTACTTGCTTCTTGTACGTAGGATTAATATACAGAATCATATTTGTCTAATGAACCTAGCTAGCTAGCTATTTGGTCCTTATATGGACATGATCTTAACATACTGATTATTTACATTGCAAAAACAAATTTTACATATCGTGCATTTGTGAATTTTTTTTCCCAATTCTTCAAGATAATAGCAGTAAACTACAAAAGGAGATAAATACTTATTTTATAGTCAAATATAAATAGCTATAGGAATTCTCATATGCCTACCAGTTACTCCCTCCATTCCAAAATAAGTGTCGTTTTAGCAAAATGGAGAAATTCCAAAATAAGTGTCGTTTTCACATTTCAATGCACTTTTTGTCAAAAGTTTCCAAAATTACCCTCAAAAGAGTTGATGCTATTGGTGGACAATTTTATAATGGGGTTGGTTGAGGATATTCAAGTAATTTTATCACACTATTTAAGAGTTTCTTAAACTATGTGCAAAGGACGACACTTATTTTGGAATGTAGGGAGTACTATTCTAATTATGTCCACACAAAAACAAAACATTACGGACGTAATTTTTATTTCATAGGAAGGAAGCCAAAGCGGCTTTGTTACACTTCATCCTGATAGAGTCGGGATGAAGATACAATATCTAACTCTAGACTTTTTTTCACCTTTGAAGGAGGCTTGATAAAATATGCTCCTCTAATGAGCAGCACAGGCCAAATTTCGCAAGGGCATCCGCTGTTTCATTGTTCCACCGCTTGGTATACCCTACCGAAATTTGCCAATTAAGTTTAAAAAACAACCTAATCCTATGAAATATATTACTGTTCAAAAACGAAGAGTAACACAACTGACTTAAGAGAGTCTAGTTCTAAAAGTAGCCTGAGTCATTAGACGAGAACAATAATGCATGCGGTCAGGTACGTCCAAAGAAAATTGAAAATGGGGTTGTTGGGATGCTTTTAATTTTACAAGGCGGGCGGACTTTGTACGCAAACCGAGGCCCACTCTTGTTCAAGTTGATGTTTATTCGTCCCCCCCAACAAATTCATCGCCGACTCCATTGATTGCAAGAAATGCTCAGACCCAGGACACCCCTTTTGCCTTTTTGGAACTTAAATTACCATTCTTGTATCAGAAAATGACCAGTAATCGTAACAGTTGCAATAATCTATCTCAAAGCAATGAGGGAAGAAAGAAGAGAGCAGCAGTTTTAATATGCATATTTGAAGATCCCAACGGTGAACTTAAAGTCATCCTTACCAAAAGATCCATGAATCTATCAACTCATCCAGGTAATTAATTACTATAATTCACTGCTTTATGGGGACATACATATATGTTTTTATCTCCATACGTATTTTTTTTTTAAAAAAAAAAGGTAGTATGAGAAATTGTTCGATGCTTAATAATTAGGAGAAGTAGTGTTACCCGGAGGAAAGACGGACGAAGCATTGGACGCCGACGACATCGCCACGGCCTTACGAGAAGCAAAGGAGGAGATCGGGTTAGCTCCCAATCTGGTTAAAGTGATCACGGCGTTAGAGCCATTCGTGTCTTTCCACCTACTCACCGTTGTCCCCGTAGTAGGCTTCCTGACCGGAATTGACGATTTCAAGCCCGTCCTGAATCCCCATGAAGTTGACGCCATTTACTACCTGCCTTTAGAAATGTTCATCAAGGAAGATAGTACTCATTATCTTTGCCAGGCGAAGGAATGGGAAGGCTGCAAGTATATTTCTCATGTCTTCCGTTTTAATCCGGCGGCGGTGTCGGAGGTGAGATCGGAGCCTGTTCATGATCAGGCCAAAGACGGCGGGAGTTTGCAAATCGGAGGTTTAACTGCCAGCGCCTTAATTCGAGCTTCGTCGCTCATCTTCCGACGGCCTCCGCCGTTTACTCAACTTCTACCCGATTTCACTCAGCTGCAGCGGAGTTTGAATCCTGCCGAATTCCTGTAGGTTGTTTAATCAATCATTTGTGAACATCTCGAGACGGATTTAGTTGGGTTGATCGTGATGTTGTTATGGTGGCATATCCCGATAATGTAGCAACGTAATTGCACTTTTATTCTTTTAAAAAAAGGATTAGGACTAGATAATTGACTGTATTATTGCTCTCAATGCTAATAATATATATTTTTTTTTGAGAGACCATGCTAATAATTACGTATCTATGCAAGCAATTGTTTGTTGTTTAAGAAATTAAATTTGGATCCCATAATTTAGAGTTTGAAATTATTAACTTTACTCATTCTGCGATAATGGAACTTGGGTTAATATGTTTTGTTCCTAAGGTTATAATCATGAGGCGCTTTCAGTTCGCACTAAATGAGTAAAGTTAAAACTTAAAACACGGTTAACACACATAAACTTTTGATTTACTATAATGCTAATTAAGCTGCTGGGATAGGGCAACATTTTCCACAATATCACTTGCTTTCCCACTAGGTTTGTCTCATGCTCCCCCCTGATTTGACTTGCACCAGACTCCAATCTCCATTCATTTCAACTTCCACTTTTCCCATCCAAAGATTATTCCTTAGTCCTTACCACTAAAAAAGTACCTAAGCTGCATATATTTAGTTCTCAATGTACACAATACACATTAGTTAAGGAAATCATGCAAGTTGAATTAGGGTTAAGGGTCTTAATTAAAGATTTGTATCGATAATTATGGTTTACTTTGATATGTTTGGTTGACACGTAGTGCCGTAGTGCAACGCATGCATCCGTTTATTTAATTTGCAGTTGCAGCTACTTACAACGGTGTGTGAAAGATTCTCAAATATTTGTCTCTAGATTTAATCAATATACAAAGACTTTGACCCAGAGCATTTGATCACACTACTAATCATTATTTGTTCCAAAATTTCCAATGAACATCAGCACTAAGCCACTAACTTTTACTCCATTTAGTATAGAATAATCAACTTGCAGTGTTTGAAACTTCTTGAGACACGTAATCAAAGTACAGTACGTGGTACCAGGACAAAAAGCTTTTTATACTCAAACAGGGAAATTCATTTTATTGGTTGGTCTATTTTGGTTATTATGCTCCTTAATTATGACGTCCTCTATTTTGAGGAAATTTTTAAATATTCTTATGAGGTTCATTCTTCAATAAAATTCAGAGAATTAGCCGAGAACAGAGTTTACAATTGCTCGCGGATAAATGTGCATATTCAAACAAGGTTTTCAAATCAGCGTCCTGCAGAGAATCACCTGCATTTGCAAGATACTCCAATTTGTTTGTGTGTTTTTTTTTTTTGTGCATATTGTAGGATTTTTTTTTTTTTTTTGTGCATATTGTAGGGTGCTCCAATTTGTTTGTGTTTTTTTTTTTTTGTGTGCATATTGTAGGATTTTTTTTTTTTTGTGCATATTGGAGGTTTTTTTTTTTTGTGCATATTGTAGGGTGTCCACCGTCGACAATAGTGACTAATCCTTCTCGCTCATGGTAGGCACCTAGATAGATGGGAGAGCCGATCAAAAGATTTGAAACGAGATTTGAAACCTCGACCTCGACCTATTGGTAAGAGTGGAGGAGTTCTTAGCACTCCACCACAACCCCCTTTGGTTAAGATACTCTAATTTGTGAAATTGAAATGATTAGGAACTCTCCTACTATTTCCAAACCCCCCCTTGGAGGACTAAAGTGTACATGACCTTAAAATTGGAGGACCAATTACGCAAATACTTGCCCACTGTACCCAGGAATTCCAAGTCAGCGCAGCCTAACAAAATGCAATAATGAAACTTCCTTCCACTTGAGTTGCGGGAAGACCACCAAAAGTCTTCCTTTTTTCAATCCAATGTAAAGCGAAAACTGTTACATATTTCATGGAGTACATTCTCACGCGGTCGTCTTAATTTCTCCATCATAATTCGACGCACACAGAAAACCTGTAATTAAAAAATTCAAAAAAAGGCCACGACTCATCATTGCCATGGTCGCGCCACCAATCGCCGCCGGGGCATACCAAGAGCTTCTGCCGGCGGTGCCGGACTGGCTCAACAAAGGCGACAATGCGTGGCAACTGACGGCCGCAACCTTAGTCGGGCTCCAGAGCATGCCGGGCTTAGTGATCCTTTACGCCAGCATAGTCAAGAAGAAATGGGCCGTCAACTCGGCATTCATGGCTTTATATGCTTTCGCCGCCGTACTCATATGCTGGGTACTCCTCTGCTACCGGCTAGCCTTCGGCGACAAACTTCTACCCTTTTGGGGAAAAGGAGCTCCGGCTCTAGGCCAGAAGTTTCTCCTCAGGAGAGCCGCCGTTCCGGCGAGCACCCACTATTACGCCGACGGGTCCACGGTGGAGACGCCCATGATCCGGCCTTTCTACCCCATGGCGTCGCTGGTGTACTTCCAGTTCACTTTTGCGGCGATCACGACGATTCTGGTGGCGGGGTCGGTGCTTGGGAGGATGAATATTAAGGCTTGGATGGCTTTTGTGCCGCTGTGGCTGGTGTTTTGTTATACTGTGGGTGCTTTCAGCCTATGGGGTGGCGGCTTCCTCTTCCAGTGGGGGGTCATTGATTTTTCCGGTGGTTATGTTATCCACCTTGCTTCTGGAATTTCCGGCTTCACTGCTGCTTACTGGGTATGTACTGCATCTAATTACAGTATTACTGTCCCTTTTATTATTCGGAATTAATTTTTTTTAAAAATGAAAATAGAGAGCTAGCTTTATGGTCGTTGAAGATGAAAAAGAGTTGACTTGAGATATTTGACAACCTAATATGACAGCATTTTTTTTTTTTTTTTTTTGTTTTTTAGAACCCAATCAATTTAGTAAGTGACGAACACACTTACGTACTCCATTGATTTGATGAATGCAGCTGAAATGCTTCATCTAGCTAGTAGCCCATTCCATATTTGTGTATATACTGATGATCACGCAAGTAATTAGAGTCCTGTTCATAATTTATGACCTTTTCTTTTCTTTTAATGAACGCAACATATAAAATGTGTGTTATTGGTCACTCTAATTATTTCAAACTTCATAATATGAAATACTATAGATTTTCAAATACAGTACTGATAAGTCATTTGAATATAGTAGTGTGTACCAATTACCAAAATTAGTAAGGGTGCATGTGAATGAATGTGATCATGGGGCAGGTTGGACCAAGATTGAAGAGTGACAGGGAGAGGTTCCCTCCGAACAATGTGTTATTGATGCTTGCCGGAGCAGGGCTTCTGTGGATGGGATGGTCGGGTTTCAACGGCGGTGCTCCATACGCTGCCAACATCGATGCATCAATTGCAGTAGTCAACACTAACATCTGCGCCGCAACGAGTCTGCTGGTGTGGACCTCCCTTGATGTGGTGTATTTCGGGAAACCATCAGTTATTGGAGCTGTTCAAGGCATGATGACTGGTCTCGCCTGCATTACCCCCGGTGCAGGTAAATAGTAATAGTATTCCCTCTCTCGCAAAATCATTATTAGGTTATCACGTTTATTTAAATTTGTACTAAAAATGAGTATTCAAACCAGACGATCATTTCTGGCATCTGCGAATAAATGTAATGTAGTACTGGTAGTTAGGCATACGCAGGTAGAGAATTTATGGCCAAGCATTGAAGTTTTGAGGTTTGATGGGTATTTGGCAGGAGTGGTGCAATCGTGGGCTGCCATAGTAATGGGAATGCTTTCTGGCAGCATCCCTTGGTACTCAATGATGATCCTTCATAAGAAATCTGTCTTTCTCCAAAAGGTAATAAATTGATCAATTCTTATGACTTTCTAAATTCAAATTTAGGTGGCCAGCTCTCATGTCTTGTTCCCATCAATCTTTTAAGGTTGCCAAGTAAACATCAATAAAAGCTTTACCCTTGACTCTAACTCTAAGTCAATTGTTCTTTTCATTAATGTCTGGTGTCGGATGATGACTCGGATGTACATGTATAGGTAGATGATACGTTGGCAGTATTCTACACCCACGCCGTAGCGGGACTTCTCGGCGGCCTATTAACGGGGCTTCTAGCCGAACCAACCCTTTGCCGGCTGATACTACCGGTGAAAGATTCAAGAGGGGCATTTTATGGCGGGGGGATGCAATTCGTGAAGCAATTAGTTGCGGCTCTGTTCATCATCGGTTGGAACATTATGTCCACCACGATTATCCTTATAGTGATAAGGCAATTCATACCACTAAGAATGTCCGAGGAACAACTCATGATCGGAGACGATGCGGTTCACGGTGAAGAGGCCTATGCTCTGTGGGGCGATGGAGAGAAATACGACCCCATGAGGCATGGTACGCAAGCAGGATTTGCTGGAAGTAATGTTGATGACAGAGGTACGTTGCCTCCTGGTTTTGTAAATGGTGCTCGAGGAATTACCATTAATTTGTAATTATGTGATTATATATGTGTATTGTGCTAGATTACCATCTAACTTTATCATTTATCATTATTTTAGTTATTAATGATGACAGTGATTTTAGATATTAAGTACTGATACAATAAAATTATTAAAAAAAAAAGAAAGAAAGAATTGCCGCCCCCAGGATTTGTACATCATCCGGTGTCATGTCACCACCCCACTTCTTAGTTGTTCCTCTGTCCCAAGAGAGTAAGAGATGCATCATATAAATATTTACTCCACTAGGCTGCTTCTTGATTGTAATTTATAAACTACATTTAGCGACACCCAAATTTATTAATCATAGTTTTAGTGTTATGGTTTACCATTAAGATACCTTCCCCTGATGATATGAATCTCGAAAGTGTGAAGTGAAAAAACCTTGTCAAACTTGACTAGTTTTACCAGCCGTACATTTTGACTAGTTTACAGTTTTTTTTTTCCTCTCCTTTATGGGTCAAAAGGTTAATTGCTTTACAAAAGCATGGAATTTTAACTAGTCGGTAACAGAGAAATTCACCAATTATTTCAACCCTGGAAAATTATGCAAAAAAGTGCTACTACTAGAAGCAAAACCTGACCAATTCTAATTTTTCTACGTCTATGTATGTATAATTAATCAATGTAAAATTCCGCTCCCTTTTAACATTCATAATAAAAATAAATATAGTAGTAGTAGCTATAATGTCATTACATCGAAATCGAATATTTATGAAGCCTAACGCAATGAAGACTTGTGTCAAAGCTAGCATTAGCCATTGTGTGGTTATGTTTCTAGTCTTGCGCTTAACTTTTTTGGTGCCAAAATTTTCCACACTCAACGTGGAGACAGAGCTAATTAATGTAAGGACTAGTCGAAAACTTGTGATGGGTGTTCTTATGGTGGTCGAACCGTGCTTGACTTGGGAGGCGACGACTGGAGGAAGTTGACAGCCAAAATAATGGGAAGAGAATCTCAGTACCATTTTAATCGTTCTCAAAACTCTAATTTTCTGTTTCCTTACACCTTCCAAATTGTTGCTTGACGCCGGGAAGTAGGAACTTAGGAATAGTCAAGGAGTTAAAGGTTGTAAAAGACATGGTTATGGAATGCCCACATATTGGCATGGAAGCTTTGGGTATGGAAGTAGTACTTTCATCCAGATGTGGTGATGTAAAAAGTCTAATTAATCAACAAATCATGAGCACCAATTAATGTACAAAATACGCTAATTACTTCCGAGACTTTCAAGGGGCCGACTTTTCCAACGTTTAAGGAAGACTTCACAACATGGCACCATGTGATCACATATTCTAAATCACGCTATCTATCTCAAACTTAAAACTAGATTGAGATTCTGGAGAGATTCTCAAAGATTCCTTGCTCATTTTTGTTCCCATTGATCCTAAAGTCCAACTCCAAACAACGGGACCTTATATAAAACACTCAACCAGCTGCTTCATATCAACTCAGAACAACATATCCCCATTTCCATCTACAGAACTGCAGCCATGGCGGATGCTTCTGTTGTTGTCCCAATATCATACATGAACAACACATCCTCGGTGCCGGATTGGCTTAACAAAGGCGACAATGCATGGCAGATGGTTTCCGCCGCCTTGGTCGGCATGCAGGGAATGCCAGGCCTAGTCATCTTATACGCCGGATTAGTCAAGAAGAAATGGGCCCTGAATTCGGCTTTCATGGCTCTCTACGCCTTTGCAGCCGTCATGCCCTGCTGGGTACTGTGGGCCTACAAGATGTCGTTCGGCCACCGGCTTATCCCGCTCTGGGGAAAAGCTGGTCTCGCCGTCTCCCAGGATTTCTTAATCTCGCAAGCCCTGCTTCCATCAACTCACTACATAGATGGCGAAACCGAAACCGCGGCCATTCAGCCCTGGTACCCGACCGCGACCATGGTCTTTTTCCAGTATGCATTCGCCGCGGTGACTGTGATACTCCTGGCCGGATCCGTGCTTGCCAGAATGAGCATAAGAGCTTGGATGTTGTTCGTGCCGCTTTGGATCACGTTTTCGTATAGCGTTGGAGCCTATAGCATATGGGGTGGAGGTTTCCTGTTTCAGTGGGGAGTCATGGATTACTCTGGAGGTTATGTTGTGCATCTTGCTGCTGGAGCTGCTGGTTTCACTGCTGCTTATTGGGTGCGCTAACGTTTTCATAGCTTTCACATTAGCCGAAAAACACCATCAGATTCGTTTTTCTGTACTCTGAAGCTCATTTGTACTTACTGTATCTGTTTGTGTGGGCAGGTTGGGCCGAGATTGCAAGAAGACAGAGATGAGTTCCCCCCAAATAATCTGTTATTGGCATTAACTGGGGCAGGTATCTTGTGGATGGGATGGACTGGATTCAATGGAGGCGATCCCTTTGCGGCGAATGTCGACTCCTCCCTGGCGGTTCTCAATACCCACATATGCGCGGCCACCAGTCTACTCACATGGACGTGCTTGGATGTGCTGTTCTTCAAGAAACCATCAGTTATCGGAGCCATTCAGGGGATGATTACAGGCTTGGTCTGTATTACCCCTGGCGCAGGTGACTACTTTCCATTTCCTTTTTCATAGTAGAATAAAAGAGATGCAACCTAAAATCTCACACTAATGCACTAGGACGTGACTCAATCCTGTTTCTACTCCCGAGAAGTGTGAAAGTTCCTTTTTCTTTCACATTTCGTGTTGGCTCAATTCAATTCCTGCTGTTAGAATGTAATGAAATTTCTTCAACAAAAACTCAAAAGTGACCAAATATATAACAAAGATCACAGACCTAACAAACTCTTTCGAATTCAAAAAGATCCTTACCATTCCTTTTCAATCTTCCAGGTCTAGTCCAAGGATGGGCAGCACTTGTAATGGGAATTGCATCTGGAACTATTCCTTGGTACACTATGATGAGTTTGAGCAGGAAACTCACCATTCTACAAAAGATAGACGACACTCTCGGCGTTTTCCATACCCATGCAGTTGCCGGAACTCTGGGAGGGGCTCTCACTGGCCTATTTGCCCATCCAAGCCTTTGCAGCTTGTTTTTAGCAGTCCCAGATTCCAAAGGGGCTTTCTATGGAAGCAAAGGAGGAGTCCAATTCCTAAAGCAGTTGGTTGGCGCAAGCTTCATCATTGGTTGGAATGTCGTCGTTACTTCTATAATTCTACTGGTAATTAGGGTTTTAATGCCGCTTCGAATGTCTGAAGAAGAACTGAGGATTGGAGATGATGCAGCTCATGGTGAAGAGGCATATGCTCTTGCCGGACAGGGACAAAAGGAGAAAACTATACACAATGGTGGTTTTCAAATGCAGCAATATCTAGATGGCCATATTCCCTAATTAAAATATATGCTTTTCATGCACAAAGGAAACCATGACTTTGTTCAGAAGTCATGATACAAGAAAGAATTTGTGTCCCAATAGGCAAAAACTGCATTCAGGTGGCAGATTTAAATTGTAACTTGTAAGTACTAGGTAGCTACAGAATTGAGCATTCAACTCCCTGTTAAGGCACATACTAAATAGAATGCTAAATTAGCAGAACCCTTCTTAAGTTGGATTCAGCAACTCTAAATGTAAAGCAGCTTGCACTTTGCAGCCAAAAAATGATAATGCACAAAAACATACAGCATGCAAAAGTGTGTATATATCACATTTCAATGGTTATACAATCCAAAAATTCGAGAAAGAAATGACTAGTCAAATTGTTCCCAGTCTTCTGTCACTTTAGTAGAAAGCTGTGCTGAATTTGGAGCACTGATATTTGAGGTGCCAGAAGCAGGTGGCTCAGGATGAGTTGGTGCTGGTACGGTATGGCTGCCATCAAAGAAGGGATTGGAGTTTTTTGCCTTCAGCGTATCTATCGCATCGACAAAGCCCTGAACTCGACGTACCTAAACCAAGCAAAATAGATAATATTATGTCTTGTTGAGCAGTAGGAGGATCCGTATTTCACCATCCCAGAGAAAAAATACATCTCTTATCAATCGTAACACAGAAAACCTTGAATAGCTCAACATTTGATGAATTCCACATGATTGGATGATTTTAGATACTAAGGCCACAAAATGTGAGAATAAATAAAGGATGCAAAATTGGGTAAAGTTTTTGTTGATGAGTTGCAGTCAGCAAACTAATTCACTAGATGCATCAAATCGAAGGCCTAATTGAATCATCAGACTAGATCATAACTACGCTACATTTTAGAAGACACGTACAGACAGTAACTAATGACGGTAGCCAGTGGAGAAATGGTTAAAGATCATTTGCACAGAAATAGAAAAGAGCTATAACTAACTTTAAACACTACTTAGTTAGTTTATAGTAGCTAGTCATAAACTTGTACCAGGCAAGGAGAATCTCTAGGTTATATCCAATTCACCAAGTACCAAGAATCTAATGATCAACCAAGTTATGTTTGAATTCTTACCTTGTCTGCGGCTCTAAATAAGCGATATAAATACATTTTAATGTGGTTCCTATCCCCAAAAGACAATTAAGCATCATCATTCTCACATACTATTATTACTCTTAACACTTTACCTTCGTACTATAGCATATCTGTGGTAGAAGAGGACTGCAAAGATAAGATGGTTCCTTTGACGCGCTGGTTTGTTGATAACAGAAATATTGACATCGAAAGAAAACAAAACTCAAATACGTGCCAAATCCCTTACCGAATTAGGAAGATTACGGAAATGATCAGATGCAGCAAATACTCCTATTAAATGCCCTAGGCCCGAAGTAAAAGCACAAAAAATTCAATCACAAGAGCGTCAAAAACTAACCTCCTGCTTTCTTTGTATTCTTCCTTCTCCTTCTGCCTCAATGGTATCCAATTTCAACAACTGTCTCATCAGCATCTCCGTCACATAAACAATTTGTTTGTCATCTACTTTACTCCCAGCATTTATAACTGCTTCCAGGGAAGAAACCTAGGGCAAAATTCAAAATATCAGTCTCCAAACATGACGAGAATGAAAAACTGCCAAGAACAGTAAAGAAAGCTACGCAACCTGTTCAGAAAGCTTATCAACTTCTGCTCTAACTAGAGCAACAGCTTCACCTCCTTTTGATATTTGAATAGGTTCGTTCGCAACAGCTCCAGCTCCTCCTGATATTTGAATAGGTTCATTCATCACTTTCTCACCAGGCGTCTCCATAAATATTATCTTAGAATTATCCTTGACGCCAGCCATCTGCAACAGGTCACTATCTTCTTTTTCTTTTCCTCTAAACAGAAGCTTGCCAGTTATTTGTGGGATGATCTTCTTCAAATCTCCTAAATCCAAAAATGAACCATATTATCCCCAAACAATAAACAGGGAAAAGGAAAAAGGGCTGCAAGGGACAACATTCACATTCAGAAGAGCCCGCTAAATCAGAATCCAAATGCGTACCCAGCTAAGAAAACAATTATGCATCAGTCAAAACAAATATCCCTCTGCTAACAAAATTTCCCTAACCAATCCCCATTATCATTAATTCAGCAATCGTAATAAGTCACAGATGCTCACTGGAATAGTACAATAAACTTAACCTAAGATCTCCACAGCCAACTATATAAGGAGTCAAGTTCAAATCAGATAACCCTAATACAGAAAACAAGGTCTTTTTTCAAGGATAAAGGCAAACAAAAGGCATCCATAGCAAAGAAAACTCATGCCCCACAGCCGTGAATTTCCGAAAAAGAAAAACCAACTTTATCTTATACAAAGTTGGATTGAACTTTTGAAATCTCATATCATTAAGACATGATCGGGTCGGGCAAATCAATCAACAACAACAGTAAGCCATAATTATAGCTAAAAGTAAGAAAATACAGAAATAAGCACCTTGGGAAACAACAAATTACTCCTATTCTTCGCCCATCAAGCATAATTCAAATGGGAACAACAAAACTTCACAGCTATAGATGACATAAATTCAAAAGCTGCTTAATGAGATGAAAGTTAAAGTCAAAAGCGTTAAAAATAACTACCAAAGGTGGAATCGGGGGGCACGCTGACGTCGTGAGTGATGGAACCGTGTTCAACCTTGATCTTTAAACCGGCGCCGATATCATCGCCGCCGCCGCCGCCGCCATCACCTCCGGCGGGTGGTGGTGGTGTGTTATTGGTTTCTGACAGCCCGCTGGAGTTCGAACCCATCGTCATATCTGGTCTGACTGTCACTCTCTTTTTATAAGTACAGTATATTTTTGTTTAATCTCTAAAACCCAGATTTTACTATGTTGCTTTCTCCGCTTGGTTGGCTGTTGTTAAGTTCGAAATATAGGTATGTTTACCAAATAAATAAATTAAAATAAATATTAATGTCGGTTGTTTGCGTGGGCCCACAAAGTTTCCCCTACTCCTTTCTTCTCCCTGTGGATTGAGAACGCAATTTCGCAATATTTATTTTTTAGGAGTAGTAACTTTGGAGAAAAAATATTTAAAAAAAATATCAGAAGATACTGTTAAGGTCTCCTGTCAAGGAGTAACTCAGGAGGGGATGGGATTATCGACAAATAACAAACCTCTATTTTCTCTTTCCCAATTTTTTTTTACAATAAATATAAAGGAGGCTATTGACAATAAATGATACTAAAAATTCAAGCTAATCACATCGTGTTCCAACCATGTTTTCAAATTCAATACCCAGTGAAACTGTTTCAAGCCGTTGTACTCCCTCCATTTCAAAACATGTCATTTTAGATTTAGATAAATATTTCAAGATATAAGTCCTTTTGTGAATTCAATGCAAATTGGTCACTAATTTTTCAGGTTTGCCCTTAATAAATGATGTCAACTATTTCTCATTTGGTCTTGTTTACAATTTTAATATAATTAATGAGGTATAAACCAGATATAGTAGAACTTTTATAAATTAATAGTGTTGGGACCACTAAAATTTATTAATTTAAAGGATTATTAAATAATCGATAAATTAATAAATTATTAATTTAAAAGATTTCTTTGAGAAAAAAGAACCGTCACTAAATTCCTTAATTTGTAATTGTCTTTAAATCCGAATTAATCAAGTATTAAAACTCTTTTGAATATTAAAAGTCCATACGTAGTTCATATCATCTCCACACACTAAAAAATAAGTATGAATAGTTCATATTTTACTAAATATTTAGAAAATTTTTTTTTTTGCTTTCAGGGTATTTACTAATTTATAATATTACTGGGACCTATAGATTTGTAGGAGATTTTCTGAAACATTATTATCTTATCATTTTATCGATTTGCTTCACTTTTTGTACTGGTCTCAAGTTGGAACTGGAGAAAATTATTAATTGTTAGAAGTTATTAATTTATAGATTATTAATTTACTGATGTTCTATTGTATTGACACACAAATTATTGTAAAATAATTGTCTCATTAGTTTACGTGCAAATTCTAAAGTGACTTATATTTTGAAATGTAATGAGTAATTTTCATGGTTCTTGAGAAGTCAATGATACCGTATAATCAACCACGAAATTTATTTTCCGATAAACATGATTGATCTCAACAATCCAATCTCGCGTTAATAATTCACGAATTCCATACCCCGCCACAACATTGATTTGAAAGAGATCCCCTCTCTCCCTGAAGCATAGATATAATGCTTTGATTATCAACTTCAGCCGCAGTCTTCCTTCCCGCCAATCTAGCTCCCATGCATGTGTAAAAGTGTAAGTGCTTGAAATAGACTTCATAACTCGGCCCCAACATTTGTAGTCGTTTTTATCCACCACAATAAGAAAATTGTAGTAATAGAGTATAAACTATAAACCTACCTTTCCATTTTTTACTACTCCCTCCCATATTTATTCCAACCAAAAAAAAAAAGAAAGAAAAAGAATTCCGTCCCATAATGCCTGGATTTCTCGCGGTGAAGTGGGTTGTCAGTTAATTGCTTTCTTGTATTCTAATTTTGTCTTAATTGAAAAGATTCATGGGGAGGATTATCTTCTTTTCCCTTTTGTTATTGGGGTGGTGTGAAAACTGTGCTCTTATAGAATTGTTGATAAACATTGGTGGGGGAAGTGAATCTGGGACTGGGTTCTGGCATGAACATCAAAAGAAGAGGAATTCAGTTTAGATCCCTGCTTGGTTTGTCTGGCCTTATGACTAATGAAAGCTTTCCTGATGTACTTCATACCATTTGTAACTTCCCTCCTCGCCATTATGAGTTCAAGTCCCGACTTTGCAATCTGTGTTAAACCGAACTCATTGATTTGAATATTAATTTTCCGGTGAAGCAAAGCACTTTATATTTTACACTGGATGTTTCTACAACTTGAAATTTCAAAGCAATTTATGAGAGACAATTTGCTTTAAAATCGTTTCACAAAACGTACTCCCGAGTCGTTCCACCTTGCTCCGCTTCATCATGTACTACCGTCCCACTGCGAACTTGGGCTTCAAAAATTGGCAATTTAAATCAAAGGCCTGGCTGCAAATGTTGCCATGCCGAATTATGCAAGCCGCCCTTCCTTCTGTGGGACAAGTTTCAAAGGCCAACTTGTAAAAAATTTGAAGTGCTAACTGATATCGGCTGTTTTATTCATTTATTGAACAAATTCTCCGATTCATATGATCGTGCGACTTTATATTTCGCAAGGAGGCAAAGTCGCAAAGAAACTTGATTGTAGTAGAGGCAATAAGTTTTCAGCGCGAAGGCAGATACCTGTTCTGATTAGATTATATATATGTTCTGTTGTTCTTCACTTCTTCCAAAACCAAGCTAAATTAAAGGCTCCAACCAACACAAACATGCATAATATCAAATCAAACAACCTACTTCGAGTCAACTAGGATTTTTACATTCAAAAATCACATAGAAGTACAACACTACAATCCCTCTCATGGGGGGTTGCGACTTGCGACGGAGGGGAAACCGAAGGCAGTATAGTATATAACTTCAGAAAGTGGCCATCAAGACTGCTTCTCCAAGAACATGTCCTTCAATCGCTTCCAATACCTTATCCTTTGTCACCTGCACATTAAGACCCAATTAAACATCCGTCAGAAAACACCGACATATGTACATACCATCATCGCCGGATAAACGGGAAACAAGAAACGTCAACTACAGAGTACCACAACTGATATAACAGAGGACATCATTGATTCATAACAGGGCTTGGAAATTGAAGGAAGGGGCAATGATAATAACATCAAATCATAGTGCAGACCGTGATTTCCTCAGATATTAAGATGTGACTTACTTGCACAAACAAAAGTTTCGGTCATGGATAAATTGTCGGAATCAGTATTTTACCTTATTTCCCAGATGGAGCTGATCATCCAAGGCATACAGCTTAAACTCAAACCGATGGCCATGAGAATGAACCGGCGGGGGTAGCATAGGACCACTCCACCCAGGAATCTTCCAATCATTGTTACCCTCCTTAATACCGGCGTAATCCCCGCCCATATCTTCTTCCTTACCGGAGAATCCCTCCGGCAGCCCTTTCAGGGTGGGAGGTATATTGATCACCACCCAATGAGCCCATGGCATCATAGGCCCATCGGGCTCACCTCCATCAAGGTCCTGCACGATCAACGCCAAACTCTTAGTCCCTTCCGGCATGTTGTACCATTCCAACGGCGGCGACAAATTCTTCTTCGCACCTTGTCCTTCGCCAGTATATTTCCTTGGCAGCTTTCCTTCTTTGTCTATGGGAGGTGATACCAACCTGAATTCATCACTTCCGTCAGTCATTTTCCGTAGAATTTGATTTCTATTCTCAAATTTTTTGGTTATTTTATGCTGATGATTTTTTTTATTTTTTTTGTAGGTAAAACCGGATTGATAATTTGATATTAATACCGGCTAGTGCTTCAATTTTCTAATAATTTTGTGGAACCTTTTTGGATGGATGTGTGGATTGGTCTAGAGTTTTTAGTTTGACGTTTCTAGCGAAGTTTCGAGTATGTGAGAAAAGGTACGTGGCGAATGGACTGGAAGAAGAAGGGACTCGTGGCGTGCAGGTTCCCTGCGAGACCAAGTGGATCCGCCGTAAAGGCGCATCGACGGTGCATCTGCCACGTTTACTGAGCAGATGGAGAAATTGTTAGCGGACAGTCGATACTTTACTTTGGGCCTCTTCTCGGGTACGACTGTTAGGCCTTTAAACTTTGGGCTTTCTTCGGCCTGGCTCCCTCAATAGCCCAGTAGGCAACCAACTTTTGTAGAATCCCCCAAATAAATCGAAAAATAATTCCCGTGCAGCAAAAGTAAATAGGGTTTTTTTTTTTTTTTTTTACAATGAAGGAGACTAATGCAGTATTAAAACAATAAGCAATCATATTTTTTTAAAATTATCAATAGAAAAAATAAAGTAAATAAATATTTACTATTATATTATAAGAGATTTTGGTCCTTTATTATTTAGACCGGCTGCGAACCTAACCCTTGTTCTATATTGGTTTAGTGGTTGCTAACCAAGACGATTTTTTTATGCCTATCAAAGGCCCTTGAGATGCTAATTCATGTATACGGCGTATACAAGGTACTTTTAACGTGTATAAATCTATATTATTATCTCAAAAATATTTCAAAAATATTACCAAAATCATCTTAATTTTGAAAATGACAAAAATGAACAACGATTCAGCGAAATGAGAATATATAAATTGGCGCTGTGGATTATGAATGGCAAATAGAGATTGGGAGTTAGTTTCAGAACTTAATATGGAATTATTTTTGTTACTTTTATTTGATTTTTACCAGACTCTGTATGTATAGTTTTCTAATGGGTGTGTATTATTTTTTTCGGAAATATAAAAAAGATATAGGTGCAGTGTCAGTAAAAAGATATATTATTGATCTAAAAAAATTAGAAACACCTACTTAAAAAAAAGCAAACCAAACTTGAGCAGATACAACTCATTTCATCAAATCAAACCAGTAGTTGGTATAGCAATTTCAAAGTTTTATTTATACTTTGCTAGTTTGTTTGTGAGAAGTAAAGCAGGAAAATCGCGGGGCCAAAAGAAAGCAACAATATATACATGTTCCAAATTCCTGAATTCCAAGTCGACCATGATCTTTTTCCAAGGTGGTACCTTCCTCGACCGTCATGGGAGTCCCATCATCTTCTTTTCTAGTCGGCAAGTCCATTTCATCCAATGGTCAATTACATTGTTTTCATGTATGACTTTTATTTGAGAGCATCGTCCGTGAGTCTCATTAGTACAATCTACATGGATTCTAAAATTAAATGATGGGATTTATTTCTATTTAAACATTGCAAAAAAAATTCATGTCACCTATGAGTACTCTAATCTAATTCAGTGATTTTTATTTTTTTTTATCATTTTTAAGTATTAAAATAAGAAAGATGAAACGGTTTGTGTATGTGTAAAAATTCTCTCACAAAGATGTAAATATATATTTCTTCCGTTCTAAAATAATTATTGAGTTTGAGATTTTATCTCCATAATATATGATACAAAAAACTAGTTTAAAATTTCATTTTTATTACTATTACAACTTCTACGTACGTACTAATAATAATATAAACTTGAATAATGTTTTGAGGTCAAATGTAACACTAATTAATTAACCATTGTAACGTGTAATGTGTAATAATGAGATATCATGCGGATGATGACTTGTGGATCCTTTCAAATTGTAGCCACAGTGTGCATATGTACGTACGATGAGAAAGTATATATATCTATCGATGGGGTTATCATTAATTTATTAGTAGAGAAGGGTGCTGGATGCTAGGGGCAGGCTTTCAACGTTGAATCTTGTCATAAACAATGTTGCTGATGTAAAACATAAACACAGTAGTTCCTGTTTCCAGTTTGGACTTGTCATCGTTTTTTATCTTCTTTTGATGCGGTTTTGTTATTTTGTCCAATCACACTCCCACAACTTCTTTTTTCCCTTTTTTTTACTAGTATTTGGTTTGCAGTTTCTGACATAATCATAAGATTCATTTCTTCCTTTTTCTCCCACAATTTTCACTACAGTTTTCGAGTTTTATAAGGTTCCAGAGCATTTAAGTCATCGCTATTTCTTATTCACAATATATGAGAATTTTATTTATTTATTTTTTATTTTTTGACTCCTTGATCGTTTCAAAAAAATGAAAAAAAAAACTCCAAATTGTAATATCTTTTGTTCATAGATTAATGCTGTGGCTTGGATATGTGGGGGTGACTCAAATACAAAGGGTGTCTTGTATTATCACCGTCACGCTAGCTGCATAAATAAATCAACAATAATGATGGTCCTGAAATCCGTAGACTGGTTTCAACAGAGAAAAGGTTTCTTTAGCAGACGTTGGTTTTGGTCGAAGAAGAAAGAATCAGAGCAGACGGACGACAGTTAGAAAAGAGGCGGGTAAATTCAGTTGAACAAGTCACCATAATTAGGGCTCCCACCAACTATCGACGTGAATTCCGGTCTTTCATGTGCTCTTGCCTGGTCCCTTCCTTTCTTCTTTTTTCTTTCCTTTTTTTCCTTCATTTCTTTTTTTTTTACATAATTTCTAAACACAAAAATAACCAAATACTAGTATCAATCACCAATCATTTATAATGCTTGATAATGCAATCGAATGGATTCCCTTTAAGCTTTAAAAGAAGAGCAAAGTACCTACGAGTAACGAGATCATGGACTTTACTCCTCAATCACGAGAAAGGAGTAAACAAACTACAGTGTTTTTGGTTTTCTTTTAGCATCGTACTTATGTTGTTTGGGGAATCCAAGGATGACCGCATAAGATCATAATTTTAGACTAATTATTCATCAACATACGTACAAAAAAAGGCCAAACTCTCTCGTTGAATAAAACCAGAGAAAAACATGTTTCTCGGTCCTCTTTCGTTCTCACCAGAGAGGCCCCCCTCCCAACCTCCTATTATCAAGCCAAACCACCCTATGCCAATTTAATTTCATAGGATTTTTGTGGGTTATTGTGATTAGCTTGTTCTGTGTGTATGTCTGTGTGTGTGTGAGTGTGTTTTTTTTCTATTTCGTGTAATCATCATTTAAATTTCCATTTCAATCAGTAAAATCACTTCTATTCACATATACAACAGGGCTGATATATGAAAAAATTACTCTCTTTTGATATGAAAATACAAACTAGATTATAATTTTGGAATGAATAAAATAAAATACGTCAAATATCTCATTTATTTCAGTGGGCCACTTATAATCGTTACCCCAATTTATTGATGGGAAATAGAAAAGAACACAGAACTTAAACAAGCCAATTCGATTACTGCAAATGCACAGACGACCAGCATTGCAGCAAAAAAATCAACGACCATAGCATATGTCTGAGAATCCTCTTTTTTACTTAATCCAGACTGCCGTACATCCCTATTCTACATATCCTAGACACACACACAAATGCACTACTAGCTCGTATCATTCAACCAAAGATTTTTGAGTATTACTTTCAGCCAAAAACAAAAAAAAAGATTTTTGAGTATTAATTGTCCCAAATTGAAATGAATACCTCATTTATTTCCATTCACCAAACCTTCCCACCCTCTTCTTCATCTACTGCATGCGGTAAATCCCTTGTATAAATACCCGCCATAATTGCTGCTTTCATGCATTCATATCAACCAAAATCCCCAGCGCACTAAAAGATTACTAAAACTCCAACTCCGTTAGTAGTAGTACTATAACATAGATATCAATGGAATATTCATCTCCTTTTTTCTCCAACGATGATCCAATCCCTTTCCCTTTGGCTGCAAGTAACACTAGTAGTGCCGGGAAGGGCAAAGTACTAGTCAAGCATAAATCCGGGGACCCAAATGCAAAAACAAGAAAATCAGGGCATGGGAAAAAATCATCATCATCATCATCGGCTAATTCAGCTCATCATCATCATCATGTGAAGCTGTCAACTGATGCACAAAGCGTGGCGGCGAGGGAAAGGCGGCACCGGATAAGCGAGCGGTTCAAGATCCTGCAGAGCTTGGTCCCCGGCGGAAGTAAGATGGATACTGTTTCCATGTTGGAGGAAGCCATTCACTATGTTAAGTTCCTCAAGACTCAGATATGGCTCCATCAGACCATGATCATGAGTACTAATATTGTTACTTGTGTCGATGATTTTGGTAAGAGAAATGATGATAATGATCATAACCCTCAACAAACTATGTTGTTTCAGCTTCCGCATGATGATTTTCAGCACTACGAATCATATGCGCAGTTACTGATGATGAACGATGATGTGAATGGGGATCAAGGGCCAGGATTTGCTGGTGGTGATGTTGGCCCGATGATGATGTATCAGCCAGGTTTTGCAACTTCCGGGATTGAATTTGAAGATAACGGATGTGTGTAGATTCTGTTGATGCAAACAAAAAAAAAATGATAATTAATGTGCTCTATTTAGTTTATTTAGGTAATTGATTAGCGATATTTAGTGTGCGTGTTATAAATGAATCCATGCATGGTTACCATTTTGCTTTTTTTATGACCTTAATGTAACCATTGTCCCTTGTGATGTACTGTAATGTATAATAGCTTTGATTGATATTCTTCTTCCTCCCCTTCCGACCCCCCTCTTTTTTTTGGTTTGTTTGTTTGAGCTACTTCACTATTGCATGATCAGAAGATTAATTTCAAGCCAATACAAACTTCGATGGAACTCGTGTTTGTGCACATTTTGAGTACCTCATATACAATGAAATCAGTGCCACTCTTGCTGAATCCACTACCTATGGAAGTTTAAAAAAAAAAAAATTAATGTAAGAATATCCAAATTTGTAAAGTGAGTCCTGTCCCAAAACAAAATCCACATTGAGCTTTAAAATTTATACTGTTTTTAATACAAGTCTCAAAATTCAATGTAGATTATTTTTTCGGGACAGAATAAATATAAAATTAGGTAAAATTAATTTTTTTTTCCTATTGTACAACTGTATTTCTTCTTTTGATACAACACACTCACGACCCTTAATTTGTTGATAACTTTTTCGGTAACATTATAACTTTGCCTATGCCTACTTTATGTCTCTACTAGTAACTAGTCACACAATTCCATCTGGTATATATGTGTGTGCGTGTGTAAAACAGTGTTACACCTTACAACCACGGAGAAAAGAAACCCAAATCTCAGAAAGAAGACTAATGAAATCAAATGGGTCGGGGTTTGAACTTGGGCCAAAGCCCAAAAATCAATCGATCTGCCAAGAGTCCCCCTTCCCGCCTTTCCGTCTTCCTACTCCTCCACCGCCGACGCCCCGGGAAATCAACTTGTGTATGCTACTATGGGAAAAAAGATAATCGCAAACAATGTCTTTATCTTTCATTGCCCTATTTGGCTTCGCGGCTGGCGATTGTAACTTTATTTCAGTGCCTCCTATCAATAATTCTATCCTCAAAGTGTTCGACAAATTCCCGAATAAACTCTTTGTTGCTTAATTTTAGCCCAATGAGCTGCTTCTGTGTGGTTGATTGAGTCTGTTGTTATCTGATCATCTTATTTAAACTATTCCCATCTTCCGTGCTTGTTAGTGTTGCTTTTTTGCCCTCGGCTATACCATCTTGATTTCACGACTTTCAATTGTTTGTGAAAAAGCCTCTATGAACATTCAACGATGAGAAATATTTGCTGAACCTCATCATCCGTATGAATTGATGTTGGCGTATATTTGCAAACCTATTTATAGATTGTGGATGCATGTTCAAACTTTGACAAAAAAATGCTCATAGTTTCATTCCTTTTCAAGGTTTTATGATATCTGTATTTATATACAAAGGAAACAAAAAGGGGTCAAAATTTCTAGTGATATAGGACTAGCAAAGAAGAAGATGACCTTGGCGAAGTGAAATATACAGGTGATGATGCACTGTGACAAGTGCATTTTGGATCATGGACGACTTTTCTTCTGTAAAGATCAAGCTTGCTGCAGAATACACAGTACTTGCCACCTCCATATAATGCTTCGTCTTCCCATTTGAATTCTTCTGCATCAGAATCTTCTGTGTCATCCAGGAAGTCTTCTTCAAAATTGGATGTTGCTGGTTCAACCTTCCCTTCTTCATACCTGGTGTAACAGTACTTATACCTTGGAAAAATGAGCAGGAAAAGTTTGTACATTTGCTCATCATACCACTCCTGCACTTCTTTGCATATCATTAGAGGTGCAAGGATGACAGCTGCTCCCACACCGAAGCCGATACCACTGACTATGAACTGCCAGTCAGACTTGGTATTGGATGGTAAGCTCTGTTCTGTTGTTGGTTCATTACCATGGCAGATCACGTTTAAAGGAAACCCGCATAATCCGAGGTTCCCCTCAAAAGATGTTTCCGTGAATGTTTCAAACTGGCGACCTGATGGGATCATTCCAGAAAGTTGATTGAAGGATAGATTCATGAATGAGAGGAATGTAAGATTCACAAGCTCTGTTGGTATAGTTCCAGTCAGCTCATTGTATGAGAGGTCTAATGACTCGAGCTGGGCCAAGTTTCCAATTGACTTTGGGATTGTGCCATTAAGTCTGTTGTTTGATAAGTTCAACACCCGGAGAGCACTGAGTTCCCCAATTGTATCTGGTATATCCCCTTGGAAATTGTTGCTGGAGATATCAATGGAGTTGAAAACCGTAAGGATTTTCACTAGTTCCAGCTCGAGTCCTTTGAAGCTTACTGTCACTGTGTCTTGATAGTAAAGATTGGTAAGACTCAAGAAGTTCGTGAACAGATGATCTGCTGAAGACTTCCCATTTTCTCCAAACATCATCCCTGTCCAATAAGAGATGCTTGTTGAGGATAGTGTGCCGCTGAATTTGTTCAAAGCAATATCAATGATTTGAAGATTTTTCCAGCTGTTATATTCTGGAGAGCAGCTAAGATTTCCATGGAACATGTTGGAGCGTAAAACTAGTACACGCAAGCTAGATGAGTCCTTCAACATGCATGGGAAGGTATCTTCAATGTTGTTACTCCCAATGTTCAGAACTTCCAACGATTTGCAGCTCCCTATGGATCGTGGGACTCTTCCTCCTAGACTATTTTTGCTGAGATCTAATGTTTTCAGGACACAACTTGCCTGAAAATTGTCTGGGATGGTACCGGTTAGGTTGTTACCACCCAAATGCAGCACCTTGATACTTTCAGTGCTGTTAAATAGACAGCTGGGTATGCTACCAGTCAAATTGTTGTTGGAAAGATCAAGGACTTGGAGGTAACTTGCATTGCAAATGGATTCAGGGATAACTCCAGTCAGTCTATTATTTGAAAGGGAGAGAAAAAGGGTATAGGTAAAAGAACTGCCTATAGAAGGTGGAATTGAATTGCTGAAGCTATTGTTGGAGTAGTCCACATAGATAGCTGTATTTGGTGGGATTGGAAAGTCACCCTGGAGTATGTTAGAGTGTAAATCAATCACAAGAAGATTATCAATGGTGTAATTACTTGGTAGACTCGATAGAAGATTATGAGAAAGATTCAACTGTTGAAGGTTTCCATTTCCGATTTCCCGGATCCATGTTGGTATTTCTCCTGCAATGCTGTTTTCTGAGATGTCAAGAATGGTCAACTTGGACTGGCTCTTCAAATTTGGAAAGCTATGCAAATTGCAGGAAGCCAATTTGAGAACACTGAGCTGAGGCAAATTGGAATTACTGCTATTTACATCAACCCATAACAAGTTATGAGAAAGCTCCAGTTTTGTAAGGTTACGTAGCCTGTTTATCATTTGTAGCTGCAAGGTGCCACTGAAACCATTGGAAGAAAGTGAGAGGACATTGAGGCGTTCAAGCTCAAAGAAAGATTTTGGTATTGATCCATTAAGTTGGTTACCACTCAAGTCAAGTGTGTCCAACTGGGAGGAAGATGCATTTGGAAATTCGGCTAGTTGACCTTGGAACCTATTGTTCAAAAGTTGAAGTTTCTGCAGGGATTGGAGAGCAAACAATGATGGTGGGATGCTTCCTTCTAATAAGTTGGACCCTAAATTGATGAAATAAAGATCATTTAGTCCTTCAAAGTGACTGGAAGGAATGGTGCCCGTTAGATAATTCCGGGAGAGATCAATGTATTTGAGTTTTTTGGACATCTGAAATGATGGGATTGAACCACTGAAATTATTAGCTGAAAAGTCCAAGTAAACCAGTTCCTTGGAATTTGCCATTGTGAGGGGAATTGGTCCACTGAAGTTGCAATCGGACAAATCTATCTTGGACAAATTCCCTAGGAATCCAATGGAATCAGGCAATGTGCCCGAAAAGTTGGTATAACTAAGGTTAATTGTCCTCAAAGATCCATTCTTGGGAAGTGATGTAATATAACCTGTGATCAAATAGTTATTTGACAAGTCTATATTCTGCAATGTTGGTACCTGGAGGATTTTCAGTGGGAAACTTCCTTGCAGATTACAAGTGCTGAGACTTAAACTTGTCAAATTTGTAAAACTTGCGAAGAGATCTGGAACTGGAGCTGATAGATTATTGGTATTAAGATTTATCACTGATAATGAACTGAGCTGTAAAAGGGAGGTGTCTATTGGACCTGAAAGATAACATGTGGACAAGCTCAGCACCCTTAAATTAGCCAAAGAAGAGAAGGCATTGCACCAAACACTCCCTGGAGCTGAAATATTGACACCATCCAGATACAACTCTTCAAGCTCTGTGAGCTTCTGAAACACTACCTCAAGATTGGGATTCTTGATTTCCAGCCTCTCAAATCCAGGAAATTGTGTCGATAAATCAAGAGTGACTAACCTCCTCATCAATCCCAGATCAGCAGAAATTTCCCCAAAAAAGATAGCATTTGACAAATTCAGGTATGTCAAATTCCTGAGCTGGTACAATCCGCTCGGAATGGGAGAGTAGAAGTTGTTATAAGCCAAATTCAAGCTTTCCAAGTACTGTAAATCAAACAGGCTACTCGAATTAGAAATCGCACCTGAAAATGTTTGATTATCCAGTTCCAGCTTGATGACATGACCTGATTTGTCACATGTTACCCCTTCCCAAAGGCAACAATCAGTACTACCATTCCAACTCACCAGCCTGGATGATGATGAACTTACTGTCAAGTTGGCTTTCAAATTCAGCAACAAAACCTTCTGGCCCTCCAGGCACTGACCAGTCACTACTTTGCCTGATAGAAATGGAATCAAGAATATCAAGAAGAGGCAGATAAACGGTTCTATAATCTTCATTGGATGCAGTTGTTGAAGATACAGAAACCCATCAGCTCAAAAAGGCCACAAGTAAGCAGATTATAACCCATTAATCATCTTCTTTTTCGTGTGCTCTAATACCGGAAAAGGAAAGCTACTTTAGTTGTTGGTTTTGCGGAATGGTGGCCGGAGGAAACAAATAAAGAAAGAGAGGAGACATGCCAGAATTTGGTGATGATTAGTATTTTGATGCAGCCGTCAAAGGGGAAAAAAAAAAAAAAAGCTGAATGCGTGTTTTTTCAAGGGAGGTTTGGTGTGAGTGATGAAAGTGTTCAACGCGTTTGGTGTCGGGCTCTTTTATTTTATTTAATTTGGGGGATTATAGGATGACTTTGGA